ATCATGGGATTTTGGTCTCCATGTTCACTTACCGAAGTTGGCTCCTGGATTCTTCTCCTTCGGCAGTTGCAAGTTGTGGTGTTCTTGTAAGCCGTGGATGATGCGCGAGCTGATCAATACTGTGGATGATCAAATTGCATCCTAGTTCCTATTCGTTGTCCACTTAACCCCAAAAACAGGTCAGGAAAATGTCGCTTAGGAGCGTGGTGGACTGGAGAGGAGAGTCAGTCAACCATAGTCGAAATGTCAAGAGGAATTATTACAGTCAAGTGTAATGGATGACTAGGGAGGAGAATACCATACATGCATGATGCATCCATGCTGATCCTACCTAGCTCATATTGTCAAACCAAACCAAAAATGGGTTAGAAAAATGTAATTAAACTATCGACCAACTGGAGACTCAAGCTAAGCCATATTCTCAAATCCCACTATACTCACACTAGATAATTTAATTGTTGAAAAATTACATATAAAAGACCATTTACGTTTCTCCACAAAACTTTTGCTGCAAAGAAATTAGACAAAGAAAATCGGAATTAGCTACGACCCACCGTTGTTCTTGTTTGGATGAAGTAAATTTATGCATTACATTGACATTGTAAAAGTTGTATGCAGTCTGCACTTCTCCAAATCGCTTTGGAGGCTGGAAATTTGAAACGGGGTTGGCAGTTTTGGTTTTCTGCTATCTTAAAATATATTAAAGGGCTTGTAAAAAAAAATAAAAATATTAAAGGGGTTTGAGAAAATCACCCTATCCACGTCAGCATTGGAGAGCTCTCCTCAATTTTCGGAATTAGGGTTTTTTTCTCTCTTTTTTTTCTCGTGTTTTTTTTTGTTAAGATGCGGTTACCACCAATAATAATTAAATTATTGTTAAACAACGTGACGCTTCTATTATTCAAACTAAAACATTTTAATTAGAATTTTTTCCTTTTGCTAAGAAACGGTTACCACCAATAATTCTTTTGTTAACCAACGTGACTCTTATATTTTTATTTTTAATAACCCTTCTATTATTCAAACTAAAAAATTTGTATTTTTGTATTTTTGTAATTTTCCCTGCCTTCTGCTAAGAACAGTTACCCGCTATTATTTTTTAATCAAGTTTATCCTTCTACTCTTCACAGTTTAATTAATGAATTTGAAAAATAAATTGGGGAACCAAATGTTCATCTACAGATCTTTTGGGAACATGTGGCTTTATTAATTAGGCTTTCCATGATAAATTTTGAAGATGGCTTCTTAAGCCATTTTTAACCCGATTTTTGCTTTCATGTTTAATATTATCTTTTTAATAAGAATTTTATATTAATAATAACATATATACAATATATAATTTTATTCTATAAATTTTATAGATTTCAAATACAACATAAAATATTATAATTTTGATTTAGACTCAATAAGCCTCTTTAAAACATACATACAAGTAAGAAAGACGACAAAATTTCATTCTTGACTTCAACTGAATAAATGTTGTGAAACATTTTTAATTCATGATCACATATATTTATAGATTTAATTGTAAAAATATAAATACTACCTGCCCAAAGGGCAGGGTCTATGCTAGTTATATATACGGTAGATTCTAAAACTACTTTAATATTTATTAAGATTTGTTGTAACTTGTGATTTGTTTTTGTAATATTTATTGGATGATTTATGTGATTTGTGGTTTGTTTTATCGAACTTGTGGTATGTTTCATTAGACTTATGGTCTGTTTTATAAATTTGTGGTGTACTTCATCAGATTTGTGTATGATTTATGAATCTTGTGGTATGTTTTGTGAAATTTGTGGTCTTATTTTATAAACTTGCAGTCTACTTCAAGAAATTTGCGGTGTGCTTAATAAACTTGCGGTCTACTTTATGAGACTTGTGATATGCTTCTCTTTTCTCATTCTCACTTGTGGTATGTTTTGATAAACTTGTAGTATGTTTTAATGAACTTGTGGTATGCTTTGATAAACTTGTGATATGCTTCATTTTCCTCTTCCCTCCTTCCCAATTGTGATATGCTTTGATAAATTTGTGGTATGCTTTTAGCAACTTGTGATATACTTATCCTTACCCTTCCTCCTTCATATTCTACGTTGTTTTCACTTTTCGTGGAGGTTCACATGAAAATAACAATTTAGTACCTAAATTTAGTGTTTAAAATTATGTTTTTTTACAAATAAGTCTTGAAAATATTGATGAAAAAATTACATTTTAGTACCTTATTTCTTTCGTACATTTTGATACATGAACTTTTAAAAATTTATAAATCGGTCAAATATTATTGTGTGCTTTAAGAAACTTGTGGTATGTTTTATTGAACTTGAGGTATGCTTTAATAAATTTGTGGTGTGATTTATAAAAATTGTGATATGCTTACTTGTGGTGTGCTTCATGGGACTTATAGTTTGCTTCCTGAGTTTGTGGTTTAGTTTATTATTTTTGTGGTATGGTGAAGTTGTGGAATTCTTTCTAGGGTTTGTGGTGTTTTGTTGTATTGTTTCTAGTGTGTTGTGGCATGTGTTTGATGGTCTCCTACCCACCCACTTCCCAATTAATGCACCCCTTCTCCAAGTTAACGAAATTGAATTTTCCTTTCTTTTTAGTTTTTAATTAAGGCAAAATACACTTCCATATCCACAACTATCAGGTTTGTGACAAATATATCCACATCTATCGAAATACACGAAATACCCATTTCCGTCCACTCCATTAACGGTGTCAGTTAACAGAGTGACTGGACTAACAGGGAATGCTTAGTTGGCGATATTTGTCCCCACGAATCCACGTGGATTAAAAAAAATATAAAACATAAAATGACTAATAATTGCGACATTGGTTTCGCCCAAATCTTCCTTCCCAATATTTGCTTTCTTCTCAAACTCTCCTGATTCGTCACTGCAGCCATGGAAAATCAACCAGCGAAGAAGCTGCGAGAGAACAACAACCATGAAGTGATGAAGAACAAGCAACCGATGGCTCTCTTGCTCTTGGGTTCGCCGTCACTGTCGATCTCGGTCATATTCGAAAGTGGAGGAGGAAGATTTGGCAGTCTACGTTGTGGTGGTCGACTCCCTCCTACTCGCGGCGACGGACTGAGAAGGAAGAAGCGATTTGTGACGGCGACAGTGGTTTCCAGCAAGTCTTCTTCGCTTCCTGAATTTGATTCCACCCATTAAATTGGCTTTTGGGAATCTCTGGTTTTTATTAGGTTTTCAGCTGCATCAATTCAATTTGATTTTTGGAATCCCTAATTTAGATTATTTCTTTCTTTTTCTCCTTGTTCGAGCCTCCAACATCACTGGACATCAATATACCCTCTAGCAAATCTTCACAAGCATGGCGTTCGCTCCAGCAACTCCGCCGACAAAGCCACCGCCGTGGCGTGGACACGAAGAACCCAAAGTAGGCTCGTGGTAAAGAAGAATCGAATCTGTTCCCTCCGTCGACGCTGACGTGCATAATGGTGGGTTGGTTCTGATCGGTGAATGTCACGCAGCTAACGAGTATGATGAACCCTAATTTTTTTTAGATTGGGGAAAGGGGGAAGAGCCCGACGGGGTTAAATAAGGGAAGTGGGTTCACGGAGATCTGGCTGTACGGAGATGGGTGCGAGCTTCGATGGCTGGACGGCGACTCAACAACGGCAAATGTATCGATGGTGGCGCAGCGCTTACAATTTTTTTTATTTTTCTTTGGATGCAGTGGGAGTTGGCAGAGATGAATCGATGGCGGAGGGCGGCCGGGGGGTGGGTGGGTTTGGAATGGCGGTGGAAGAGGGAGGAGGGGCAGAGATGGGAGGAAGTTGAGGGGGTGGGTGGAATGGTCGTGGAAGAGGGAGGAGGGGTGGAGATGGGTGGAAGAGGGATGAGGGGCGGAGGTGGGAGGAAGGGGAAGGGTCTGTGGCAGAGAAGCAATTTTTTATTTTTTATTAATTTTTTATCAATAAATATTTATAAGTAAATATGACGTGTCACTTGGTGCTGACTTGTCGATGATGTGTGCGCTGAAATGGCGTCCTAATCAGCATATTGCTAACAGATCTGACGGCATCACTAACACCGTTATAGTTTCAAACGGAAGTGGATAGATTTGTCACACAACCTTCCGATTTTTGGATATTTCGTGTATTTTGATAGTTGTGGATATATTTGTCACAAACGTAATAGTTGTGGATATACAACTGTATTTTGCCTTTAATTAATGACAAGCTTGCCTCTAGTGGGCTTTTCCATGTTTCCATTAGTTGGAACTAGTGTTATCATCATGTTAACAAAAAAAAGTGTTAGCACCCTCAGTGGAGGATCTATAGAGGTTTAGGGTTGTCCTGGGACACCCCTAAAATTTGAAAAAATAATTATCCAATCACCGATGGTAGTTTGCATATGGCTAAGTGGTAGCGGACCACCCTTAAAATTTGGAAAAAAGGGATTATCCAACCTCCTGTAGTTGATTGTGTATGGGTACAAATAATATTTAAGTGGTATTCTATGTGATTTGGAACTTGGGACACTGCCATTATTAGTAAACATATTTTCAATTAAACTACAACTCATTTGTTATTGTGTTTTTTTTTTTAATATTTGTTGTTGTGTTTTTGATCCAAAGGTAATAGTAAAAAGACTATTCCTATTCTCAATTGTTCTCAAAACTTAATTATTGACCTAATTACGGGCTATCTTTGTCTAGTAGAATATATCGAGAGAGATTTGTTGAGTAGTATAAACACCCAATTTTACCATTTTTTCATAATACAAAACATAATGTGAAATTTTGTTGTAATTTTTACTGATAAAATATTTTCTTATTTAATAATAATTTAATTTAATCTTTAAGAGATGACACTCATATGTAAAATTCCTTAAGCATCCTAATCTTTTCTTGGTCAATCAAATAGTTTCTATGTGAGGGTAATCATGTAGTTAAGTTCATTATCAGGGGCCTTAATGTTATAAAGCAGCATTGTTGATTGTTCACCTTTTTTCCTCCTCCTCTCTTCACCTCTTCCGTGAATTTAACGGATCACTTTTTGTTTTGCCTCTTCTTCACTCAACGCCATTAACGCAGGGCATTTAGTGCTTGGATCCCCCAATCGAAAACCCTAACTCCGGCGGAATTTTTGACTCCCGCGGTGATCTGATCAGGTCATATTCCTTCATCAATAATCATTCGATTTCTCTCTTCTTTAATCCAACAAGTAACTTGTCTTCGTTTTGCCTTTGAAATTCTGGATTCTCAACGAGTTCGCATTGGGTTTCCAGATGATCGGCCGGCAGTTTTAATGGCTGCCCCTCCTTGAAAACTTATGGTGGTGGTTCTGTCTGAAAATTATGTTTCTGAACTAGTATAGTAGTTGCGTACAAGTGGGAAGCTGCTCCGTTAAGTGGATACTTGCTTTCGTTTTCTTATTCTTCTGGAGAACAGGCGAACAGGGAAAGTTGTTGCCATATGATTTTCTCCAAGTATCCTGGACTGAAGCGATTTTTCTTTCCAATTCACAGTGTTCAAACTCTTGGATGATTGAGCATTTATTTGCCGAGCTTACCGTGGGTAGCTTGTCAATGGAAATGGATCATTGAGCTCGCGGGGAACTGATGGCAAGGGATCACCATCTGCTCCTTATGATGCACCAGAAATCGTTCAACTTCTTTTAAAACAATCTTGGGAAGCATGAACATAGTCAAGGGTGTGGCTGACCTTATCCGAAGAACATCTAATATCCAAACTGGAGAATCTAGTTCTCGCTCAACAACAGAGAAGTTTCCAGCACCGGCTCCTAAAATCTGCTTCAGGTTAGTGCTCTTGTCACATGGAAGTTAACACTATCCTGAAGCTTCCTGATTGCAAAACTTTCGCTTTTCCCTCTCTACCTGACATAATAGTAGTTACGAAAGTGATTCAATATTTGTGTTCTTTCTGATCGTCGTATTTTCCTCTTATTCATGAGGTACTTGGAATTTGGGTTGGGTGCATTAAATGTACTAGGGTTAGGGAGTTGGAATCCTTGGAAGCTAGGTTGAGAGGGTGTTTTCTTTTTGAACAAGCTCTTTGTCCGTCATAACTGGGAGGGTTAGGAAGTTGGAATTCTTGAAAGCTATGTGGTGCCAAATCTGGTTGCTTTCCTTAGGAGTAGAATGGAAGGACATATGAACATTTGGTGGGGCTTGTAGAAGAAATGCTATTTCCGGGAAACAATAAGGAATTTCTGAAGCGGCTAGAGTGGAAAGGGCACATCAATGTAAGGTTTTACATAGACTATCAATAAATAACTATACACAGACACAGTGTCATGGAATTTTCATATTCAGGAAATTAGCAGTTTTTCATAAAATAACATTGCAGCTCTTATCTTCCACAGAACCAAGTCAACCTACTTGCATGCTTTTATATAATCTTACAAGAGAGTTAAATTCAGTTAGAGATTAAACCTGTTCCTCTTCCAAGTTGCAGGAAATGGAAAACATTTACTTATTAAACTAAAACTGCTTATTGTATTTCATTGGACTTAAATATGCGGAAGCATATACCGCAATTGAGTCCTTTCTATGTTGTTAGATAGCTGCTCGAAGTTCTGGAAAATAATGGGAAAGTAGGGCTTTGAAGGGTTGCTCTGCTAATCCAAGAGCAGGACTTTGCTTGAGAATCCCGCAAGAAGGGTTTTGAGAATCCATTCGAAGAAAACAAGTCAAACACTCAATTAAACTCTCTGTCTCTTCCCCAACTGTACACCTCCTAGTCCCGAGTTCATGCATTAGAATACCTGCTGCCGGCAGCAATATCAACAGCAAGCAGTACTTCACTAGAGAATCCTCTTTAGAAGGGGTTTGAGAATCCAATTAAAGTAAATGAAGTCTAAGACCAAATAAACTCTCTGCTCTCGTCTCCAACTATACCTCCCCATCCATTAATGTAATAAAATCCCATCCACCAGCAGCTATATCAGTTGCAAGATCAACACATATCAACCCAATCAACTATTCTGGCTCCACAGATGAATCACTCTTGTAGAATAGATAAAAAAAAATATCCTGCAGTTAGGCTGAGGACAAAACCTGGTTGATTACATTAGGAGTCCGTAAAAGTGGCTGTTGTCTAGAAAACAAAACCATCATGAGGCTGGTTCTAATTTCAATTGGTACAAGTTCGTGGCTCTTAAAAGGAGAAGCAGGGAGGTTGACCAATGGGCATCTGTGATTTAGTTAAGTAACTTTAATCAATCAGTATGTAGTATAATATGATTTGTCACATGATTTGATGAAACTAAAGAAGCCAACTACTGGTGGTTATATTAGCTATGTGATTTATGGTAGGGTGGTGAAGTTTTTAATTCTTGATGCTGCAACTTCCTTAATGGTAGTTATTTCCATTAGTCTTGTTAGAATGATTGAGACTTTGAAGGAAATATCTGGTTTTTACACTGAACTACTGTTTAACTTACTCTTGTTATTTGCCTTTATGCAGTAAGTACCTCTGGTATACTCTGTCCTTACAAATGGGTTTTAGCCATGTGTTGCAAATTCTTATAAACGAGCTCTTGTATCAAATCTTAAGCATGCAAGCCCCTTTCCAATGTGTTTCCTATTGTGGTCTTCCCGGTCAATAATTCGGCAAAATCCCTGTTACATGACCTATGGTCCTCAGCTGACTAACTTCTCCTAGCTGAATGAGTTCTTTTATAACTCTGAAATTACCTGGATTCAGTCTGTCCAAGATTGGTTTTGCAACCCTTGATTCAGTAAGTGGGGAAGTGAGCCTAGTACGAGGGGAATTAGTAATTTGTAAGGTAAAAGAAGTGACAGCAAGAAGGGGTGTGTCGGCTGATTGTGTTCCACATTTAGCAGAGATTTTGGAGGAACCCTGTAAAGGTCCTTTGTGGAAAAAATTACATCATAAGGGGTATGAATCCTCAGTTTTATTCTTTTGACATGAATGCTCAAAATTTAGTATGTTTTTTTTTTTGTGACAAAAGCACAGTACAACGGCTAACAAAGTTGTAAGCCTTCCACAGATGATTAGGTGTATCATTGAACCACAATAGAATTGTATATTATTAAGACAGTTGTCTCTTTCGACATTGCTCTACTTTAAAGTGGTTTTGTTATCAATATAGGTTTCCTGGAAAACAAGGCATAGTCATTTGTTTAGGATGAAGCAAGTTTGGTAGTTACTTAAGTATCAAAAGATATTGACGGTGTTTATTATCGTTACTTAATCAACTGGTTTTCTTTTCCTTCGTCTACAAATTCCCTAATCTCTTAACATGTGAAGTGATTCTACCCAGTTTAGCTTCTTGTCTGTAATTGAACGAAAGAGCAATATTTGTATCAGTTGTATTTCTGACTTTCCGTTCTCTTTCTAGCCTGCCTGCTGTTTTGTATCTTATGGATTTATTGATCACTTTCTGGTTTCCTTTATCTCAAGTAGACTCTCTTAATCTGTTGTTCGCACTACAAATTAACTGAAACTTTATCCTTTGGTCATGTTATAGTGAAGAAGGTGATGAAGCAATTTTGCATACCTTATGGAAGAAACACGAGAGTATAACTGATAAGGTACAGGTTTGAATTCCTAATGTGTTCTTTCTAATCTTTTGATTCAATATTCAGCTGTTTTTTTCTGAAACCGTTTCATTTCCTAGACTGTATTTTTTCTTGTGAAGGTTCCTGTTTGAAAAATGAAAAGTTGAATGCTTAAATGTCAGATAGTGGTTATACTGTCTTTTTGTAGGTGATGTTCACCCCAGGGACTGGAATGTGGATTGAATATCAGTCATCCCGCATAACCACTGGGCTAACTTTTTGGGGTTGAATTTAAATAATATAAATGAGAGATAATTTGTTAAATTATTAAAATTGAGGCATTTGACATTAGTATCTAGCATCTAATTAGATTCACTGAAATCATTATCTAGCAATACAATAGGGATTGTGGGAGAAAGGAGTCATCTCTTCTTTTTCCTCTCGTCCTTTGGCTTGAGTAATTGGTAGACTGTTAATATGGAGGAAGCTTGGATTCATAAAATATATGTACAGAGCTTGTATGGATTGGTGCGGTTCCATCTTGTAGTATCTGGATGTGAAGAGTAAGTCTGGTCTGTGTCATGGTTCCACTCAGTCATATGTTTTGGTAAGAGTGATACAGAAGGAATGTCAATTGATGTATGCTGGTTGTTTGGTCTCTCTTTTCCCATCGGTGTATGCCTTTCTTAGTTCTGACAGTTGTTCATATATCATTCCACATCTTTACTTCTTCTGGTATGATTTTGTCTATTATTCATTGCAATGTTTGTAGGTCGACAAGAGAAAGCTGTTCCATGTTTTCCTCAAGCAATTTGTTGCCGCATTCAAGAACTGGGTACCTGTAAATGCCGGTCAGTTCATAGAGACTACTCCTACAACAAATGCCACAGAGTATCCTCTCCGCTGTGCGGATGTGGTTGTTGGTTGCTTTGCTGGGCACCCTGCTGAGATCATTCTGGCTCTGATTGAGGAGATTGGGCATATAACTACCCTGATTGCAGATTGTAAGTTGATTGTGTAGCTTTCTTATAGTAGTAAAAGACCCATATATAAATTGCTACCGTCATCTGCTAAAGAATTATTTGGATGCCTTCAATGAAGTTCATGAAACTGATAATATTTTGGTTTTGGAGATTTTAATAAAAGCCTCTGTAAAATGGAAAATTTGAAGAGTGCAAGATTTGTCTTTCACGTTCTTAGATAAATTTGTATGCATCCATTTATCAAGATCAGAGATGAAATTGTGACCTGTTTTGCTATGTAGGGCTAGCCAATGGCAGCAAAATAGGATATCTAAAGATTGTCCGGGTTTACTAAGTTTGCTTATTATTTCTCTAATTGTCTGTGGATACTGGAACTAAGGGTCCTTTTAAAAACCAACCCAAAAAATAGCCATTGAGGATCTTCTAGTGAGTGCATGATATTTTGAGACTGTGCTATGGCCTCAACAATCCGTTTTTCAGGAACTTATGCCTATCTCTTATGCATTGCTTAACTGTACCCTAGTAATATCGGATGCTTGAAGCATATTATTCACTTTTCCCTCTCATTGTCACTCCAGTGAATTCCAACGGTACACATGCTGGATTAGACTTATCACAGTCACCAAGTTTGAATGTCTCTGCTGAAGGATTGCCTGTTCTGGATGCATTAACTATAATAACCCGTTCAATGCACAATTGCAGAGTTTTTGGTTGTTATAGTGGTGTCCAAAAGCTAACTGCATTACTGAAAGGTACTCTTATATTTGTGCTTTAATCTTGTCAATCGTATATTTCAGCATATGGACCTTTTGTAATTTCTAACTAAGGTTGACACCCACCCCCTCTCCAAAAAAAAAAAAAAAAAAGGAGCTGTTGTTCAACTAAAAGGAATAGCAGGTGCACTCTCTGGCGAGGAAAATTTGTCTGACCCGATTTCAGAGAAAACTCTACTCCTGCAGCAAATACTTGTTCATGTGATATCGATAATGTGCAACTTTATAGATTTGAACACAAATGCTTATGGAAAAGCTGTGTTTGCACCATCAATTGATGCCTCTACCAGCTCAAAGGTTCTTACTGATTCAAAGATGTATTGGCGTCAGAAGGCAGTTGTTGCTGTCATGGAGGCCGGTGGCCTTAATTGGTTAGTAGGTAAGGTAGGCACTTGTAATTTTTCTGTGCGTACGTCCTTGACTTGTTCAATCTTCTTATGAAGCTGTACCAGTCCCAGACATGTCTTAGCACAAATTTCTGTTGCTATACATTTTTAGATTGATATATAGCCTTAGTAGTTTATTAGGCTTGTCTATATCTGTTGTTTGAATGAATATGATGGATCCCATGAACATGGGTGCTTCGCTATATGCCTATGCAAGAGCGGAAAACCTTAATACTTCCTAACAGGTGCCCATATTTGCTATTTCTTTGATAAAACCCATGGTTGCTGTTGCTTTGCTGTTTGATTATATGTGATGCATCTGCAATTCTCGGAAGGAGCCTGTGACTCTTATGACATGTGAATTTGAACATTGGCTTCTGGACTTGGATGTAATTTACTGTGGAATAGAATGTCAAATTTTCATCTTGGTAGGTATACGAAGGCGGGTAGTTGAATAATGCCTTCTCTTCTTGCAAGTAGACACCATTTTCACTCTGGCTTCCATTGGCAGCTGTTGTATAGGACTTGCTGTTTTCCTAGTGGTGTTGCATTCCCTTCTGTCAGAACAACGGTTTTATGCTGGTACTTTGTTCTCTACTTACTCATAGACATTTCTGTTCTTCAGAGTTGTTACGTGTCATTAGAAGGTTGAGTCTCAAAGAGCAGTGGACAGATATATCACTCCAAAACTTGACTTTGAAGATCCTTCACATAGCATTAGTTGAGAATCCACGGGGTCAGAATCATTTCAAAAGTATTGGAGGGCTTGAAGTTTTGTTAGATGGCCTAGGCCTTCCATCAATCAATGTGCTCTTACTGAAGAATGCCACCTATTCTGGTGATAGAAGGTACCATGTGAAATATGCAACATAATCAATGTGCTTACTAATATCCGTAATTAGCTGGATCGTCAAGGATTCCTTGGCTTGACTTCAATTTAAGTCTCTTGTGCTGTCTGTTTTTCATGTTTGATAATATTGGCCTACGTTTATTGCAGAGACGAGAACCCTTGGGTGAAAATATTTGAACTTCATGCACTTTCGCTGACTGTGCTTAGGGAAGCTGTGTATCCTTTATCACCTGTTCTGCTGCGCACACGTCTCTATAGTTTCTGTTTCGTTTTTGGCACGAGGAGGGAGATGTTGGTAATGCTCATGGGCTTCTTTATCCTTAAAGTGGAGAGAGATGGTTTTTGTTCAACCCTGGCATTGTCTTTTATCTGTTGAATTTGTGGAACCAATTATGTGATGCATTTCCAACCTTTTATTCTAGTGCCTTGACCTTTACCATGTGTGAAATTCATACTTAGAAGCCTTTGTAACTTGACCCCATTGCTTTATGTCCAGACCTGTTTCATGCGGTGAAAAGGCGAGTTTTGCGTTCTTTGGTCCATGCTCAACATCAAAAGGGCATGGGAATCTCTTGCTGTGCATCTTGGATAAGCTGTTGTTGTATGGTTGTTTAACATAGCTTTTTTTAAAGAATTGCCTAAGGGAAAGTTAAAATTGCATTTGATGGTATTATCATGTAAGCTCTCTCTTATGACCGAAGTGTCCTTAACAACTATTCAGATTTCGTAATTTGAGCAGCTTGCAGTATCTATGCGAAAATGGAAGGATTCAGAAATTTGCTAATAGTTTCTGCGCACTTGCTTTCATGCTTCAAGAGTATAGGCAGAAAACTAAGGAGTCGTCTGTCCGGGCTGATTCCCATCTTCCTTTTCTTGGCTTGAAAAGTGAAAGTCATGTGATCCTGCAGCCATCCTTTTCCCTTCACGCAGATGCTTCTCACTCTCAACTGTGGGGTGAACATGTGGTTAAGTTGAGCAGGGTTCTTTGTTCATTTGTGGTTGCTCCTGAAATAATAAAATCACAAGCTAATACTGGCCCTGAGGTCGTACCTGTTTCCTCGGCATATGGCGAGCTATCAATTAGATGGGTTATGAGAGTCCTCCTTACAATCTTCCCGTGTATGAAGGCTTGTTCGAATCAGAATGAGCAGCCAAGTCTTTCCAGGTGATGACATGAGTACATTGTATTCTGTTCCTTTTGCTTTCTGCAGATTATAGGTTATAAATACACTTATATTTATTTTCTCATTCTTCTCTTGCATTCTACTTGTCCATATTTTTTCTTGCAGGGTCTTTTTAAATGCCCTCCAGCATTGTGTTCTTGATGCTTTCAGGAAGGTTCTTGTTTCATCCCCAATATCACTTGAAGTGTTTAGGGAAGAGCGCATATGGGATCTGATTTTCTCTGAAAACTTTTTCTATTTTGGTAAGTCGTCAGTAGAAAGTACCACAGAGTGTTGCACTAACTGCAAAGGGTTTCCTGGGAAGCTTTCACCGGTTTCTTTGTCCAACAGTTCTAACAGTTCAACAGGGGCAGGTGGCATTGAAATTCTTCAGATGGAAATAGTCTCGTGTGTAGAATTTGCTGCAACTTGTAAAGGGAGTGCTCATAACTTGGTGGGTTAATCTTTCGTTTAAGTGCATATATTTGCCATATTCTTTTAAGCTCAATGTTTTAACTGCACCATGGCTGCTTATGAAGTTTTGTGTAGAATGTTATTTTTTGGCGCATCAAGTTTTATTTGTTTGTAGTGGCACTGTCATTTGGTTTTTAAGATGCGGTCTGTGACTTCATGGACAAGAATTAATGTTTGTTCGCTATGCCGTTGTTTATCAAATGCGCAATATTGGTTTTGAATTCCTGCTTGGTAGTTTCTTAATTTGTTTTATTTCTTTCTTACTCTCTTGTGCATGCTTTTTATGTCTCAGCCCGAGTTGTCTGCTTTGTTGGATGCTCTCGAACAATGTGCCTGCCATTCTCTAATTGCAAAAGTTCTTGCAAAGAGTCTTCTTCGAATTTTCCGCCTCTCATCTGAGAAAACTATAGCTTCTTTCAAGACACTGAATGCAATTTCTCGGGTGCTGAGAGTAGCTTGCATCCAAGTAGAGGAATCTCGAAGATCTCAAGCTATGAACACTTCTCCTGAGTGTGAACTGCTTCCAACCAATTCTGATCCTAGATTTGATGCAAATGCGGTAGTCCACAGCCAGGCTGAATGCATGGAGACATGCATGGGGCTATTTAAAGAATTTTTCTTGTCTGCAGATGATGCAAAGAGTTTGGTTTTGCATGATTGGAGTTGTATTGAGTGCTTGTTTGAGTTGTTCTGGCAAGAGAGCATGAGAAATCAAGTGCTTGAGCATGTTCTCATCCTTATGAAGGTATCGAGTAATTATCTTACTGTGTTGTAGATTAATTTTAATGTGCAGTCCATGCCAATTAGCCTTGTCTTTGTTTCTGAAGCATTCATGTGTACTGCTGTTTAGGTAACACCATCTACTGCTGAAGACCAAAAAGCGAAGCTGGTGTTGTGCTCAAAGTACTTGGAAACATTCACTCAAATCAAAGAAAGGGAGAGAAATTATGCAGAACTCTCTGTTGATCTACTGGTTGGAATGAGGGAGATGCTCACGGCTGATCCCACTGTATGTTTCTGCTACTTTTAGCCAATGGCTTCCAGATATAACGTGCCATTTTCATTTCTTTCCTATTTATCTTTGTTTTTCGGGAGGGGCTGGATGGTGGCTCGTCCTTGGGTTGTTGTGATGCCTTACTAATTATTTCTTGCTGCAGTATTACCAAGCCTTATTTCGTGACGGCGAGTGCTTTTTGCACGTTGTCTCTTTGCTAAATGGTAATCTCGACGAGGCTGACGGAGAGAAGTTAGTTTTGAATGTCCTGCAGACACTTACTTGTCTTCTTGCCAGTAATGACAGTTCAAAGGTTGCTCCTTCTATATTTGTTGATGAATTGCCAATCAATCTTTGCTCTATTTACTTTAAGCTTTGATTTAATGTGTTATTTCTGTCGCTTATTGCTCTTTTTGGTTTGGTGGGCCAGCGTGGCTAGATGTTTGCTTAATGCATTTGATATCTTCTCTGGGTTTAATACACTGTTGTTATTGTTGAAGATTTTTTACATTCAGTTTGTGACTATAATTTTAATGGCTTAATCAGTAGGGTTTGTGAGCTTCATTTGCAAAGTCAATATTTACCTAGATGTTGTCCAATTCGGAACTTGAGTATTGAAGCCCTACTTGCCCGTCATCTACTTCTTTTGTATTAATTTGCAAAAGAAAGGAATCTCCATTCTCTGCTACAATGATTTTAGTACCTCAAAATTGGTGATGTAACCGGTCTTTGCTAAATTCTAAACCCTGAATATCTCATTCCTTTGCTAACCCTTAAAAGTGTTTTCTGGAGATGGTTAATAATGTTTCCATTTATTTCTTTTGTGAGTTTACCAAAAAAAAAAAAAACTTTTGTGAGTTGGCATTGTTTTTCGGTACTCTTTCTATTTGGCTGACATTGTTTCTACAGGCTGCATTTCGAGCTCTTGTTGGCAAGGGTTATCATACACTGCAAAGTTTGTTACTGGATTTTTGTCAATGGCGTCCAAGTGAAGCACTTTTAAATGCACTTCTTGATATGCTTGTGGATGGGAAGTTTGACCCTAAGGCAAGCCCCCTCATAAAGGTGACTTTCTGCCTATGATTTGCTCTCTAATTTGACTAGGTATCTCGTACCATCTTCTGCTTCGTATTATTGTGACATCATATATATCATGTTCTTGGCTAGGGTTGTGCTTCTCTCCATTCATTTGTTTCTCTATGTTTTACTTTCCAGAATGAAGATGTGATCATACTTTACTTGAGTGTGCTGCAGAAGGTTGGTAAATCATCTTCTTTATATTCATTTTTCTAAAAGATCCTAACTTTATTTTATTTTGAGATTTGTTACCTTTGTCTTACTTTGTACTACTGCATTCATGGTCATTTCCCTTGCACTTTTCTTGTCCTTCCTATTATTATATATAATTACTTGTTATCTTGTGATTGGGCAGAGCAGTGACTCTTTGCGTCATTATGGACTCAACATGTTCCAACAACTGCTTAGGGATTCCATTTCCAATCGCGCTTCATGTGTCAGATCAGGAATGCTTAGTTTTCTTCTTGATTGGTTTTCTTGGGAAGATATGGACAGCGTCATTTTGAAGATTGCTCAATTGATTCAGGTCATTGGTGGTCATAGTGTTTCTGGGAAGGATATACGCAAAATCTTTGCGCTCCTGCGAAGTGAAAAAGTTGGAACTCGTCAGCAGTATTGCTCGCTATTGCTGACCACTATGCTTTCTATGCTAAATGAGAAAGGACCAACGGCCTTTTTTGACCTCAATGGAAATGACTCTGTAAGTTTTCTTACCTCAATTCCTTATGGTGCCAAAATTTGCATTAGTTTTTTCTCCATATAGAGTGGATGAATGGATGAGACTTGTAGATATGATATCTGACGCTTGAATGGATGGTAAACTGGTAAAGCCACTCTCCTACGCACTTGTACATGAAGAGGGGAATCGCTGTGATACACCCGTGAGCTTTGAGCGTTATTGCTGAAAAAGACCCATCAATTTAGCAGCGCATCTGTCTTTTAATTGCCAGTCTGTTAAACTTTATTAGTGCTGTTACCCTTTTAACCGTAGTCGTTTAGTGAGTGCAGAATGATTACTTTCCTGGTATCATCTGTACGTTAGGCAATTGTTTTTAAGCTTACATTGGTTATTTTATTGTCCTACTGAAACTCCTCGTTTTTGGTTTTTGTTTGCTTATCTTTTGGAAATTTGAACTTGTCTGCTTGATTAGCCATAAACAATGCATATGACTGTTCATCAAAGTGACAATCCAGTTTTTGAAACAGTTCAGTAATCCTATCAATGTTGTCATTCTGGTAGTCCTTTCCAAATGGGCTTTGTTTTTCATGATTGTGGTTTGGAAAAACCAGATGAAAAGGTTTTGCCTTCACCTACTGCATTTGTCTCCTACATTCAGAGGATACACCCCTGCCGTCTATTGTTCTCTTAGCAAATTGAAAGATTATTTGCTGGAAATATTTTATATGTCAATTCTAAAAGTTCATGATGTAGCACTGGAATATTTCGTTTTATTTAGTTGTATATGCTGGTAACCTTTTTGTATTGAAAACGAACAATTAATCTCGATTGTGATTTCTATCTCACTAGTTTCTTTTCCCCATAAAATTACTGTGTGCCACATGTTTTTTAATTGATTTTTGTTTACTTTCGATAAAGTGTTCAAGATCATCTGTTTAGTGGCAACTTTATGAAAAAAAGAAATGACAGGCATTGTCTCACTATTTGTGTCTGGATAAGGGATTCTGCCATTTGGTTGACATAACTGACCTTCTTGTTGGTATGTTTTAGGGTATCATTATTAAAACACCTCTGCAGTGGCCGCTGAATAAGGGGTTTTCCTTTTCATGCTGGCTTAGGGTGGAAAACTTCCCCAGAAATGGTACAATGGGCCTTTTCAGTTTTCTCAGTGATAATGGGAAAGGTTGCTTGGCAGTACTTGGAAAGGACAAGCTTATTTATGAGGTCAGAATTGAGATGGAAAATGCAATTGGTCGTTCTTTATAGTAGCTTTCTGCTTTTGACTCTTAACCGCAAAGTTTCAACTTGTTCAGTAATCAAATATTTATTTCTTGTTTTCTTTTCAGTCAATTCATCTCAAACGACACTTTGTTCAGCTGGACATTAAGATTGTCAGAAAGAAATGGCATTTTCTGTGTATCACCCATAGTATTGGCAGGGCATTTTCAGGAGGCAGCTTGGTGAAATGTTATGTTGATGGAGCCCTTGTGTCATCTGAAAGATGCAGGTTATAGTTTATATCCAACTTTCTCAAAGAGACTGTTTGATTTGCAAGCTGCAACTTTAATCCCCAAATGTGTAAATTGTGATGTTTCAGATATGCAAAAGTGAATGACTTGCTGACAAGCTGTAGAGTTGGCATGGAAATTAATTTACCTCAGAACGAAGAAGATAGTTATCCGGAGTTTATACAAGATGTCTCAGCGCTTCATGGTCAGATTGGTCCTGTTTATTTGTTCTCTGATGCCATTTCCTCAGAGCAAGTCCAGGGTATATACTCCTTAGGACCTAGCTACATGTATGCGTTCCTTGATAATGAAGCTACTCCATACAATTATAATCCATACCCCAGTGGGGTTCTTGATGTGAAAGATGGTCTGTCATCGAAGGTTATTTTTGGACTCAATGCACAGGTAAGCTTATGGGATTGATAAGTTTTTATTGGTTTATGGATTTTGATTATGGTGGTTGCTTTTACAAAATTTCCCATTATTAATAGTTTGATTTCTTTTTAGGCTAGTGATGGCAAAAAACTCTTCAATGCTTCTTCTGTATTCGATCAATCTACTGAGAAGAAATCATTTGATGCCATGGTTATGGGTGGCACGGAGTTATGTTCACGAGGGTTGCTTCAGCAAATAATTTATTGTGTTGGGGGAGTTTCTGTCTTTTTCCCCCTTATTGCACAGTCTGATAGGTATGACAATGAGGAAAATGGATCATTTGAGCCCGCATTACTTACACCCATCACCAAAGAGCGTCTGACAGCTGAAGTCCTTGAGCTAATTGCTTCTGTATTGGATGAGAATTTAGCAAATCAACATCAAATGCATCTTCTTTCCGGGTTTTCAATTCTGGGATTTCTCTTGCAGTCAGTTCCACCTGAGCAACTTAATTTGGATACTCTTGCCGCTTTAAAACATTTGTTTCATATTGCTGCAAACTGTGGTAAGTGTCATATGCATTGCTACTTTACATTTTGGAGCACTGTACTTGTGGTTGGCATACTTCTGTTGATATGATCATTTGTTAAATCTGCATTTATTGGCTAATCATTGCATAGCTAGATCATAATTCATATTGGCTTTGCTTCAGGTTCGGCAGAGCCACTTGTTGAAGATGCTATATCTAGCATATTCTTAAATCCTTTGATTTGGGTGTATGCAAATTACAACGTTCAGCGTGAGCTATACATGTTTCTCGGCCAGCATTTCAAAAAAGACCCGAGGCTACTGAAGACCCTCTGCCGGCTCCCTCGCGTGATTGATATAATTCGCCAGTTTTACTGGGATGCTCCGAGATCCCGATTTGCTATTGGCAGCAAGCCTCTTCTGCATCATATAACCAAAAAGATAATTGGAGAGAGACCTAACAGAGAAGAAATCCACAAGATTCGTCTTCTTTTGTTAAGTCTTGGTGAAATGAGTCTTGGGTATTCTTCTGTTAATGTTCTTTTATTTGTTCTTCCCATAAGCTTCTGAAGGTTTTTATTTCCTGGTGTATCCTTGTTGTAAGTGTTTCGTCTTCTAGGATCAATAATTGAAACATCAATAGTAATTACTTGGAGTTCCTTGTATGGGCCCATCCTCAAAACTTCTGCCATGTATTATGGTTTTTTGTACCTTACAAGCTTCAACTTTGTTCCGATGTGCAGGCAGGGCATAACTGGGTCAGATGTAAAGGCCTTGGTAGCCTTCTTTGAAATAAGCCAGGATATGGCATGCATTGAGGATGTTCTAACCATGGTCATTCGTGCTCTCTCGCAAAAATCGATGCTTGCCGCTTTTCTGGAACAAGTTGATCTGATTGGTGGTTGTCATGTCTTTGTTAACCTTCTACAGCTGTAAGCATCATTTTTACCTCGTGGAACTTATGATTATTCCTCCTGTTTATAAAAAATGACATTTCAACACATGCAAAATTCATTTGTCTCTTATCTGTAATCTGTGCACACCACATTCTGTTCCTGTAGGGAGCATGAGCCAGTCCGGTTGCTGGGCTTGCAGTTTCTAGGAAAACTATTAATTGGTTTACCCACTGAGAAGAAGGGTCCCAGATATTTTCTTCTTAACGTTGGAAGATCCAAGTCTATTTCAGAGAGACATAAAAAAATCAGTTCGAGAATGCAACCAATCTTCTCATCCATCTCTGATAGGTTGTTCAGATTTCCACTGACAGATAACTTATGTGCTATCTTGTTTGATGTACTTCTTGGTGGTGCTAGCCCTAGACAGGTAATCCTGATTTGTTGCTGACTTTATCATTGGGAGGATTCTTATCCCCCAAAGGGTGTTCCATGTTGAGTGTATTGAATTGGATTGTAAAATACTGTCGAATTTGTTACTAATTAGTTCTATGTAAACCTATTGACGCAGGTGTTACAGAAACAGGGCCTGGTTGATAAGCAGAAAAGCAAGGGCACTAGTTCCCACTTTTCACTTCCTCAGATCTTAGTCCTCATATTTAGATATTTGTCTGGATGCAAGGATAGATCTGCACGAACAAAGATAATCAGAGATCTGCTAGATCTACTGGATTCAAATTCCTCGAACATCGAGGCATTAGTGGTATGATCAGTTGAACAATTGGATTCAATAATCTTTACATTCGGTCAGGTTAGCCCTAACTTGCCAGACATGATGAACAGGAACATGGATGGAATGCTTGGTTGTGTTTTTCTGTAGAGCTTGATGCGTTGAAAACCTACAAAGGGAAGTCGCATAACCCAATTGACGAAGCGCCAGAGCAGGATTTGCTGAGGCATCTATTTTGTGTTGTTCTTTGTCACTATGTGCGCTCCGTGAAGGGTGGCTGGCAGATTTTAGAAGACACCGTTAATTTCCTGCTTATGCACAGTCAGCAAGTGCGTTGAATTGCTCTTTCGAACATAAATAGCTAGCATACTGATTCTTGCTTTGAATAATTGTTTTATCTAATGAACTCTTCATTCAACAGGGTGATATTTCATACCATTGGTTACTTCGTGATATCTACGAAGATGCAATTGAGCGCCTGTTAGACTCGTGTTTTGAGGAAAATGTGTTTGCTGTACAACCATGCCGAGACAACACATTATATCTTTTGCGACTGCTTGATGAGATGCTTTGCTCTGAAATGGACCACAGCATTCTGGTATGTACGTTCTGAATTCGAGTTTGTTGAAGGTGGATAGAGTTCGCCACTACTTCAATATCCACTAGCAACTGTTCTTTCCTGAACAATTTAGAGATTAAGAATCCTATATATGTTTGTGTTTACATGATATATTTGGTAATGTTCTCAATATAAGCTCTTGAAACTGTTCACGTAAATCTTTGTAAGTGATATTTTTTGGTAGAAGAGTCACGAATGCACAATGTTTGTAACTGAGTAGGACAGTGTTTTCCTGTCAATGAGTCAACACCGTCGACCATTTTTAAATAAATGGAAAGTGTTGTGAGCAGGATTATAGTCGACTGTATTGATGCTTTTCTTAAAATTAAGTTCCTTTGGCAGTCGGTACCTGTGAATTGTGCCATTACTGTTTGGAGTGTTGTTATTTATCACAATAGTCGAGGCCATATGTGATTGGAACCTCCTTTAAATGTCCAAGAAAGTATCTGCAAAACATCCATAGAAAAAAAGCAGAACGCTGGTTACTGAAGAGGTGCTTGGACCTGTTTTGCTTTATTGTGGAATCATTTTGCATTTTAAATTACTTGAGAGTAAACTAAATATAAGCATTTCTTAAATTTACTTTAGCATTTACTTCTAGGGAAGCATAGATTATTTGGCATGACAATATATGTAGATCACTGGTTTCTTCTGGAGCCTTATTTGCCATCCTCTAGTTTAAGAGTTGCAACTTCTTCATTATGTTCTTGGATGTTGAGCCTCTCTTTTCAAGCTCAGTAAATTATGCTATCTTCTTAATTTGCATTTGATTGCTGCTGCTATATTGGGTTATTTGAATGATGGATGAACATGTTTCCATTTTTCTGGTAGCTTTCCGCTAATGATCCTGAGATGTCGCTTGATCTGCTGGAATCAGAAAGTCATAAAGGCACCACCTTTGGGTTGGATGAGGTTCTAAAAGGAGAAATCGATGGTGAAATATTGAGGTGCAGCCACCTGACTTTCTAGTAGTTAATTCTCTTTCATGTTAGTGTCATATTGGTCACCCTTACAAACACTAGGCTTTTTATGGCTTAAACAATGTTTTAGAAACGACTTTGACCGTACTTAACTTTCAGCAACATTTAGATTTTCCGCCCCCCACTGTTCCAAAACAGGCATACTTAAGTTGTTGTAGTGCTGCAATCTTAGTTCCTGGCTCTGATGACTGAAGAAAGTATGAGAACTTGATATGGTGTGTGAGTTGAGGGTTATCTGAAGAAAGGATGCTGGGTTCATTTCTACTGGAAATCTGATGATAAGTCTGACTTTAAGACTACGATCTTTATATCAGCTATGCATTGTCAAACTCTAGATCCAGTATTTGCCTATAAGAAGGTTTTGGAATTAGTGTTTGTCAACCATTGTAACGTTCACAGGACCTCATCTTGGTACCTGTTCACCTGAAAAAGTGAATATTCTCAAACCAGAGGGAAAATACATCCAATTATCTAATTTGATTTTTTTATTGCTGCTGAGGTATCTATTTAGTTGTATGACTGTAAAATCTAATCGTATTGCATTGTACCCAACGAGTGTAACCATTGTAAGTTTCCTGGTTGTCAAGAGTTGGCACTGGGATCTGAATTGTCCAACTTCTTCTGGCCATGAAAAGATGTCCTTTCTGTCCATTCATGAAATTCTTTTGGATTCTAGACCCCAATCGACCGCCATTGTTTCTTCAACTACTAGTCAATGATAGTTGGCTGTTGCTCTAGTTGTTTATTGTTTGGTACTTGTGTTATACATTTTATGGATATGTAATTTTCCTGTAGGAATCCATGGGTTGGTATGCGTACGGATAATGATGTGCTGGATCATGGATGGTGGAATCTGTATGATAGTTTGTGGGTTGTTATCAGTGAGCTCAATGGAAGGGGTCCCAGCAGAATATTACCAAAAACATCATCAACTGATGGACCATCATTTGGCCAAAGGGCCCGAGGCCTAGTTGAATCTCTAAATATTCCGGCAGCAGAGATGGCTGCTGTGGTTGTGTCTGGAGGGATTGGCAATGCCTTAGGTGGAAAACCAAATAAAACTGTTGACAAGGCGATGCTTTTGAGAGGCGAAAGATGCCCGAAAATCGTCAGCCGGCTTACAGTCTTATACCTTTGCAAATCTTCCCTAGAGAGGGCATCAAGATGTGTGCAACAAGTCGTTTCACTTTTTCCTTCTCTTCTGCCTGTAGATGAGGAGCAAAGTAAGAGCAAATTGCAGTTTTATATCTGGTATAATTCTCGACTCTCTGGTTGCACTTTTGTTTATGTAGGATATTCCTCTAGTACACACTCTTTAATGGCTACTCACCAATCTTGTTACTTTGCTGATTGTACTTTGCAGGGTTTTACTTGCTATCAGATCTCAATATGGGAAGCTGGATGATGGAGCTCGATTTCATGTCATTTCCCACCTGATCCGTGAAGGTCTGAACTATGGAAAATCATTGCTTGCAGCTAGCATGGTGAATATGGACACTTCTGATTCAGGGAGCAACTCGAAAGACACCAATTCCATACACAATTTGTTTCAGAAGGAGAGGGTTCTGGCAGCGGTATGTCCTGATTATAGTTGATTGTTCTATAGGTTTTACCCTATCTTTCTGTTCACTAATATGCGTTCAACTGGGTATCCTTTCCTTTCCTTCTTTGCCATGCAAGAGGCCAGCTTTTTTCTTGATGGTTTGTGTACATCGGTCTCCTGCTAGGAGAATCAGGTTGAAATCAAGTTGATCCATCTTCAGTAGTTTCGGAAAAAATCTTTCTAGCTAACATGACTCTTAAACCAGACTAGACTTGCTGATTCGTGGATTTGAACTATCGACCAGCTATTTGTCTGGTTATGGTTAATCAGAAGTTATGCAAACCAGTTTCAGGATTATCGACTTCGTTAGCTGTCTCTAGAACAACAGTATGGCACACTCATGCTTCTGGGTGATGCATGATTTGGCTACCAAAAAATATGCAACAATATTTTGCAGTTCGTCCACATTTTTCATTTCAATGTACACAGGCACGCGTTTGTATCCATGCTCTAACAGAAATGTCTTTCTATCTGTAATAAACTTAAACTTTTGAATCTCGCCCTTAGTTAGCTCAGTCTGTTTATTTCACAATGTAGGGACGAGCTGCTATAGCAACATCTGTTGCAGAGTTAATGAATTATCATATTTGATGATATGTTTCTCTTTTGCACGGACTGCACTAGGGTTAATGATTTTTTTTTTGGGGGAAACCAAACTAATGAACAGTGAAATTGCTGGCCAATCTGTCTATTTAACTATTCACATGGTTTGATTTCGTTCTTCAGGTTTCAGATGAGATAAAATACATAAAAACATCAATGTCTGACCGGTCCAAGCAGTTGGATGAGCTCCGTACTAGGATGGATGAGAATTCTTCTTTGGAATTTAGTAACAAGAAAGTATTTGAAGATGAAATACTTGGTAACTTGAACTCAATTTTGGCTTCAGACGACAGCAGAAGGTCTGGATTCCATCTTGCACATGAGGAGGAGCAGCAAAATTTTGCTGTATGTCCGCTTTATATTCCAGACATACTCTTTAACATTTTCTCCATTTGGTCATTGCCTTTGCTAGTCGTGGAAACATCCTGAACTTTTTTTTATCTTGCCTTAACAGGAAAAATGGATTCACATGTTCCGTACTCTCATTGACGAGAGAGGTCCCTGGTCTGCTAACCCTTTTCCAAATGCTGCTGTAACACATTGGAAGCTTGACAAGACAGAAGATGCATGGCGACGCAGACCAAAGTTGAAACGGAATTATCATTTTGATGAGAAGTTGTGTCATCCTCCTTCATCCAGCGTTAGCAACCAAGATAATATTCCTACAAGTGATAGTAAAATCAGTTTTGTGGCTCATCATATTCCTGAACAGATGAAGCAGTTTCTACTAAAGGGAATTCGTAGGATAACTGAGGATGGGAACTCAGAGGCTGGTGAAGATGATCCCTGGGCCCAAAAATCCATGGTACCTGAGGATAATTCAGAGAGACAGATTTCAGAACTAGTAAAAGGGAGTAGTGATCAGAAAGAGATTGTTCAAGAAAAAGGAGAGTCTTCTTCCTCTGCAGAGGCGGATGCCAGTGAGGTACTGTTGTTTGCTCTACAAAAGAGTGAATTGATAATTGTTTTACAACTTATGGTTACTTGTTTGTTTCAGGTTCTTGTCTCATTTCCATGTGTACTTGTGACGCCAAAGAGGAAAATGGCTGGAAGTTTAGCAGTCATGAAAACTGTCTTGCACTTTTTTGGCGAGTTATTGGTTGAAGGTACTGGAGGTTCATCTGTTTTCAAAAACTTGAACTCTGGACTTAATTCTGAAGCCACCAAGCTTGATCAAAAGAACAAATCTGTTAAAGGGCCAATTCATAATGATTGGAGGCCCGGGAAGGGGATCACTGCTGAAAGGGCAGAGACTGCAAATGAGAATGAGCATGAGAAAAATCTAAAACACATTAAGCGTCACAGGCGCTGGTGTATTTCCAAGGTAAAGAAATCAATTCATCTGTTCTGAATATGTTTTAAGATCTTGTTCATTGTTTATTTAAATAGTTTACTTGTTGATTATAGATTAAAGCTGTGCATTGGACACGCCATCTACTGAGATACACTGCAATAGAGATCTTCTTCGCTGACTCGACAGCTCCAGTCTTTTTGAATTTTGGGTCATTGAAGGATGCAAAAGAAGTTGGGTCATTGATAGTTGCTACCAGAAATGAATTATTGTTTCCCAAAGGAAGTAATAAGGACAAAAGTGGATACATTTCATTTGTGGACAGACGTGCAGCTGTTGAGATAGCAGAAATTGCCCGAGAGAGTTGGAGGAGAAGGGATATGACTAACTTTGAATACTTAATGATTCTCAACTCACTTGCTGGACGATCATACAATGATTTGACCCAATATCCTGTATTCCCTTGGATTTTGGCAGATTATTCATCTGAGACTCTTGATTTTAATAAGTCATCAACCTTTCGTGATCTCAGCAAACCAGTGGGTGCATTGGATCAGAAGCGGTTGGAGGTCTGTTCTTTTTTCTTTTTGTTTATTACTTTTGTTTATACTAGCTGATATCCCTTTAACGTAGTAAAACTTCTGTGTGTACTTTCATCTGACAGGTTTTTGAAGATAGGTATCGTAACTTTTCTGATCCTGACATACCCAGGTAACCCATGTGGCATTATGTTTACTCTCTGTTCGCTTTGTTAATAGCCTGTTCAACCTACTGATTGTTTTCTTAACCCAGCTTCTACTATGGCTCTCATTACTCAAGCATGGGAATCGTGCTGTACTACCTTCTTAGATTAGAGCCATTTACATCTTTACACCGTAATATGCAGGTACTAGTTTTTGATGGTTTCTTTTATTTATTTGGCGTGATCGGTAGAAGTAAATCGTTTCAAAACTAATTCTGAACTAATGAAACATAGTATCTTTTGCAAGTACCTTGAGATTTCGGCTTCTTCACCTGGCTTTTCTCATGAGTTGATTATTTGTAGCTTCAGTTATGTAATTTCTTTGTCCTTCCTACAAATTTAGGCTATCTTTTGGCTGTTCTCAGCATGAGTTCTTCTTATGAGAGACAGTGGGTTGTTTATCTAGTCTGAGATGAAGATAATCGAACTTAAAAATTTCATTGGTGCAGACATGAGTGCTGGGTAAAAATTGATTTAGGTTTTGAGAAACTTCTAACCAGTAATGCGAGAGGTCAAACATTCCAAAACTGAGAGCAACATTGCAAGAGAAAATGTTAACCTTGATGAATAGTAATGATTTGTTGAATTTAGAAGCTTTAGAAGATTGTTGGTTTATTTATGCTTCTAGTTAAAATTGGTAGAAGTTTTGTTGGAGTAAGCTCAAAACATAGGCATAGAGTAAGCTGCATTTAAATTCCAGGTTGTGAGGAGAAAAGGGAACATAGTATACTCTCAACTCCAACGTTCGTTGACAGGTTTGCTTGCTGCTTTAAGTGATGAATGTGCGGGAACCTCCTCTCCTCGCTTCCTCTTCTTATTTGCTTGATATCTGTACCCCTTAGTAGCTTAGGATTAATGATTTTCTCAGTTTTGGCTTATATCAGCTATGTTATTGAAGTAAAGTTACAGGTGTTGTGCAATTCACGAAGTTGTTTGCACCTTTTCTTTAGCTATGAGCCATTTTTGTTTTAACAAAATCAGTTGGATGTCAAGGTTGAAGCACCTTACTCAGCATGAAAATTTCCTTTGTTTGGGTTTGGTAAAAAGTTCCATTTACCTTATTGTTTTTCAGGGTGGTAAATTTGATCATGCTGATCGTCTTTTTCAAAGTATCGAGGGTACATTTCGGAATTGTCTTTCTAATACAAGTGATGTGAAGGAGTTGATTCCCGAGTTCTTCTACATGCCGGAGTTCCTTGTTAATGCAAACTCTTATCATCTTGGCGTCAAACAAGATGGAGATCCAATCAGTCATGTTTGTCTCCCTCCCTGGGCTAAGGTTTGTCTATTTTCTAAGTTATATCTCACATTTCCCGTCATGTTTTTCTGTTTATAACTGATTATATGGAAGTTAACTCTTTTTCAAATAACTCCTTTAAATAGGATTTACAAACTTTACCCAGAAGAAGATTGGTTCTAGCATAATCATAAGTTCATATAAGTTTTTTACTTCCATGAGGAAGCCAATGAAAATCTCAAATAAGTAAGACAAAAGAAAATTTGTAAAGAGTATTATATGGTCATTCTTGAATGACCAGTCTTGCACATATCAATCCTGTGTGGCAGATACATACTGCTGCTTTATTTTGCTGATGATGTGTAGACTGGTATTGTTTTTAGTTGCCACTTTCGTCGGCACTTAATGTTTGTTCTTAATATTCTGTTACAGGGTTCTCCTGAGTTATTCATAAAAATGAATAGGGAGGCACTTGAAAGTGAGTATGTAAGCTCGAATCTTCATCACTGGATTGATTTGGTGTTTGGTTGTAAGCAGAGAGGAAAACCAGCAGTAGAGGTATTGCCATTTGTGTTCACCAAACGGTTGAAATTCTTTGGAATCTTGAACATGCTTGGCCGTTGACTTTCTGTCCATCCTAATTTCCTTGGGTTCCACTGCAGGCTGCAAATATCTTTTACTACTTAACTTATGAAGGTGCAGTGGATCTGGAAACAATGGATGATGATTTACAGAGATCAGCAATTGAAGACCAAATTGCAAATTTTGGTCAGACACCGATCCAAATTTTTCGTAAGAAGCATCCAAGAAGAGGACCGCCTATCCCAATTGCTCATCCTTTGTACTTTGCTCCTGATTCTATCAATTTGACATCTATTGTGACTAGTATTTCACCATCAGCTGTATTATATGTTGGTCTTGTGGACTCAAACATAGTGATCGTTAGCCAAGGGCTAACACTGTCGGTGAAGCTATGGTTGACAACTCAACTGCAGTCTGGTGGCACTTTTACTTTCTCCGGTTCTCAGGTGAATATATCTCCGGAAAACACTAATGCTCGGGAATTCTTGAAAAATGATGCATCTTTTCATTGAAACTTTAATTGGTTCATGCTCCAGACTAACAAATATTCAACTGTGTACAGGATCCATTCTTTGGAGTTGGAGGTGATGTACTCTCTTCTCGAAAAATTGCAAGTCCGTTGGCTGAAAATTTTGAAATCGGAGCTCAATGCTTTGCGACAATGTTATCACCAGCTGAGAATTTCTTAATCTCATGTGGGAATTGGGAAAATAGCTTTCAAGTTATTTCGTTACATGATGGCAGGACAGTGCAGAGCATTCGCCAGCATAAAGATGTGGTCAGCTGCGTTGCAGGTACTTTTGACAATAGTATTTATATAATTATATTATATGTATATCTTATCTCAGAGTCCAGGGACGAGGGTGTCAAAATGAAAAGTTGGAGTTGAAAATAAAAGAAGATAAATAGAGTTCGAAAATACTTTCACATCTTATGAAATTCCATGTGTTTCATGGGGGCATTTGGTTGATGGAATGTAGATTTAATTCCATCTTGTGATGGGAAGTGAAACCCTTGTGTTTGTTTCGTCTCTTAAGGGGCACAAATGTGAGGCGTAATCTAGCAGTTGAAATCCAAATTCCCTAGAGGAGCGGTAGGATTTCATGCTTCATGGTTAAGTTCTGGATTGTTCTCTTTCTTTAAGTTTATTAATTGATAGCAATGGTAAATAAATTTCCTTCTTTCAGTTAAAACTCCCTCTTAAAGAAAGTTCATCCCAGCAAAATACTCTCTAAAATCTATTCCTATCACATTTCATGCATTTGTATTCGATGCACTGCAACATTCACAGAACGAATCTGTTACTGAATCTTATGAATCTGGTGTTGCCTCTTGTGACCTTGTTGTCTTTTATCTATGACCCTTTTATCTTGCAGTGTCTGCTGATAACACTATCCTTGCAACTGGAAGTTATGATACCACTGTAATGGTGTGGGAAGTAGTACGTGCCAGAGGCCACGAGAAAAGAGTTAGAAACGCACAAACAGAAGTACCTCGTAGAGACCACGTGATTGCTCAAACCCCATTCCATATCCTCTGTGGTCATGACGACATAATCACCTGCTTGTTTGTTAGTGTGGAGCTCGATATTGTCATCAGTGGTTCAAAAGACGGGACGTGTATTTTCCATACCCTTAGGGAAGGCCGATATGTGAGATCTTTGCGTCATCCATCTGGCCATCCACTGTCAAAGCTTGTTGCTTCGAGGCATGGGCATATAGTGTTCTATGCCGAGGATGATCTTAGCCTGCATCTCTACTCTATCAATGGCAAACATCTGGCAAGTTCCGAATCAAATGGGCGCCTCAACTGTATTGAACTCAGTAGGTGTGGTGATTTTTTGGTCTGTGCTGGCGACCAAGGGCAAATAGTTGTGCGATCGATGCACAATCTCGATGTTGTGAAGAGGTATGTGGGAGCTGGAAAGATGATCACAAGCCTAGCGGTGACTCCAGAGCAATGCTTCTTGGCTGGGACCAAAGATGGACACATTTTAGTTTACTCGATAGAGAATCCCCAACTCCGCAGAGCTGGTGCTGCTAGGAACAAGACAAGAGGCTCTGGGCCGTTGTAGATCGATCAGGTTGTCTGCAAGTAACAATCACTGCTCAGTTGTCACGATCGTGTTCACAACAGGTATGCAAACTTGATTTCTATCTGTTTCAATTGAAGCCATGGCCGTGCATGCTGATTATCGTGCTTTGCTTCTTCGAGATTTTGTCGTATAAAAATAAAACGACTTGGTGATGCAAATTGCCACTACTAAGTAGAAATCTTGCTAGTATGAATGACAACTTTTACCTGACTCATTAGCTCTGGTCTGCTTGGGGTAGATATCATGGGGCCGGAATCTGTTTTATATGATATTTATTCAAAGCATTCCCATTTGAACTACTATTAAACGATATTATTAATATAATCTAGTTACTGGCAAGTGGCTATCTTTCAGATAATGAACTTTCATACTCCATTTTATTCTCTCGCTTTTATTAAAAAATCGTTCTTGAATCTCTTAGAAAGAATCGACTTGTTTGGTCGTTGTTCTTTGAGTTGCATAATAAGTCGATCTGTCGTGACACATACCCCAAACAAAATTACTCAACTTGACTTGTGCCTGGTGCAGATCTGTTAGGGTATTGAGATAAGCCACCTTGCATTGCCCCACTGCCATTCCTACTTGCTAGAGTGAAAACGGACTCAATCCCCCGTTCTTTGTTTGGCAAACATATTCACTCTCTTAATTTTATTTTCTGCAGAAGCTGGCTTGAAGAATCCAGAGACTGAGTTCTGCTGAAATTACTTGGACCACAGTTTTGCTAACACAGGAGGTTTTGGTTTTAGGCGTTCTGGAGATGAACTGTGAGGTGCTGATTTTCAGCTGAGACTTGCAGCGCTACAGACTAGCTGAAATGCTGGTCATGTTGCCTTCTTAAGATTCAGCTGCAGCCGCCAATGAAAAGTGAATTGCTCGCTCTTGCGGCCGGGTACTTGGTTTTGTGGATACATCCTTATGCATACTTGTATTTGTATACCTACCTACCTGTACATTGTATAGAGGGAGGAAATGCTACCCTAAACTTTGTCTAACAGCTGACAATGCCAGCAGCTCTCAGGTCTATTATTATCATCTTCAGGTCATTTTGTTGTTAGGTGATAGAGAACAGAAACTGGACATTGTACAGATGGGAACCTCCCCTCGATGTCATCTACGGGAAATGATGGCAATTTAGTACCGGTTATGGCTACTGTTTTTACTTATTTAAGATTTAGCAAAAGAGCAAGCATGCACGGGTATGTGCTTGATGGCAGGCTCGGTACGGCATCGATACTCCAGTATCAAATACCGAACTCTCAAATATTGAATTACAACCTAAAATCAATCTCAATCCAAAAATAAATTCGGTATCTCAATCCCAATCCAAAAATATTTTGGAATCCCAATCGGTATTTTTGAATACGATACTATGCAATCAATAGATAATGGTAACAACACCCGTATTCCTCATCATTTTAAAAGTTTGTAGGCTTAAAAAGTTTGCTTATGAGCATGTGAGGCGAGAAAAGTTATAAAAACTTATTGAAGTTATAATTAATTGGATTCAATCAAGTCTTCATCGAACTTATTCATTATAGGTTTTCATTTAGCGCAAACAGACTAGACAAAGGGTTTTGAGTCCGTCTAGAGCTAGGACATGATTAAGGAGAAGGAAGGAGATGATGATATCACAATTTCTCCTCATTGGTAATCTTTAATTCGATGGATTGGAGGTTCTTATTTAGCGCAAAGTGACTAGACAAAGGGTCTTGAGTTCGTCTAGAGCTAGGACATGGTTAAGGAGGAGGGAGGAGATGATGATATCTCCGTTTCTCATCATTGGTAATCTTTAATTTGATGGATTGGAGGTTGAGAGACAACTAATGAGAATGTATGTTTTTAAAATGTCATGAAAATAACAAGAGATTGAGTGCGAGACGAGAGTGACTTAAATTTGAAAGCAAAAATTGGGTTGGATGGTGGCTTGTGAGTTGTCAAAGATTGAGGAAGAACCGAAGAACCAAAGTATGTGCTATATTTAATTAATTTTTAATTTTCGTTGTTTTTCAGTATTTTGGTATTTACTGATACAATCTCGTAATCCCGAATACCAAATAACACTTCAAAATGAATCACAATCTCAATCCTTAAAAATAATTGTGTGTTCGATCATTTGTAATGCAAGTCATATCCATTTGTATTGTTAATAGTTTGTAATATAAATTAGTCCAGTTTGCAATGCAAGTCTTATTCATTTCTATAGTGTGTAGACACAATTTGAAATGACAAAAGTTTATGGTTAGCAGCAAATCAGTTTGATTTGTAATGCAAGTCATATCCATTTGCATTGGAAGTAATTTGTAATGTAAATTAGTTGTAATGTACATCAGTCTCTAATGTAAGTAGTTTGTATAATATGTAACATGGTTGGTATGATGTGGTATTTTAGTTTGTATACTATGTGTTCATAGTTTGTGATGTTTGTCAATCTCATTTGTAATGTAAATTAGTTGTAATGTACATCAGTCTCGTTTGTAATGTAAGTAGTTTGTATAATATGTAATATGGTTAGTTTGTATACACTGTGATTTAGTTGGTACCCATTTTGATTTAGTTTATAATATTTTTCAATGTCATTTGTAATATACTCATACTGATTTGTATACTTTCTTATATGATTTGTAACATAGTTCGTTTAACATAGTCTTTTAGTTTGTATACTATGTTATTACGGTTTCTATATGTTGGGGGCATGGAAAGAAGGGCCCAAGTAAAGGGCCAAGGTGCCATCATGGGCCGGGAATGTGGGCCTGGCGAGGGAGAGACTCGGCCCAAGAGAGGGCCAGAGACCAAGGCCCAAGCAGTGGGACCAGGCCGATGGAGGGGCGCATGGCGACAAAAGGGGAGTAACGGTCAGAAGCGTACGGAGGAGACAGGGGGTGGGGCCGTGCGCCTCCGTGGTGCAGGCCGGTGTCAGAGTGTCGGGGCGCCTGGGGGGAGTAAGGTACAGTGCATTTAATGAGGTGATGACGTAGGGCGGATTTGGGGGGCATTGGTCGACCCTACCTCGAGTATAAATAGTGAAGTGGGTGGAGCTCATTTACTCAGGTTCCAACTTCTCTCTAAAACTTACATCCCACTTCTCTCTCTAGAATCTGTTCTAACTTGGGCGTCGGAGTGCTAACGAGCCCTTGCTAAGGGGCTCGGTGCGCGCTGCCGTGTGCAGGGGACGAGCGTGTGGTCAAGGCGCGGAGGAAGCGGAGGGAGCTCGAGGGATTTGCAGGGCGTGAGGCAGGAGGCGCGCGGAGACCGTTGAGGGCGGAAGGTTACGTGGCACAAACACTATACATTTTGATTAGTTTGTATACATTCTGATCTAGTTTATGATGTTTGTCAATCTCATTTGTAGCATTGATATGTAAACAGGATGATTTGTATTATTTATTAGCAAGATTTATGTTATTTATTAAAAGTATAATAGCTCAAAACACTGATTACTGTACATTCAGACTGTTTTTCCTATTCATTGTGACTCAGAATTACTATTCACTGAGTTCTTATTGGTTGTTGCTTTGATGTGGGTCCAGATTTTCCTTCCCTCTCCCTTTGAACTGTCGACGAGACCTCTGTTTTCCATTGCTTGATATCTGTGTAAGGCTGTAGGTGTTGGGGTCTGACGCGAAGCCCTCTTCGTGGAAAGTCGCGTTGATCACAAATCGACTGCCAGAGCCCGGTAAGGCCAGAAGCACTCTTGATGCTGATGGGAAGTATCTGTCAGCTCTCTCTCGGTTATTTGGGTTGCATTGAATTGGGGCTCAGATTTCTATGCTTGGAACCCAACCATTTTTTTCTTTTGATCGCTTTCGTTGCCCTTAGCGTTGGTCACATATGCTTAATTTGTGGGGCCGATGCTTTTGGCCGCGCATCCCTTGGGTCAGAGAGGGTTGCTGATGGATGTTTTTAGGCATAGGGACTTCAACCGCCATTTTGGGAAACGGTGACTCCCCCTTTGATTGACGTAGGCGCTCCTTGCAGAGAGAGGAGAGCATGTGTCAGTGGGTGGAGGTCTCAAGGAAGGCAAAAAAAAAAAAAAAAAAATCACAGCAACTCTTTTTCTCCAACACATATTCTACCTATCCCTCATTCCTCTCAGTTTTCTTTTACTCATCCCGTTTCTTTTCTCTCTTTCTGAGAAGATCGGTCAGAACTATCCAAAAGAAGAGAGTGTTGGGTGTTGTATCTTCAATCTTCATCGCTGACTACCTCCATGGTGAGAAACTGAATAGCGGATTCAAGTGGATGGTCGTCTGTGCATCCAAAGGGTATTCCAGGAGGTTGCATCTCCGGCGCCGTTGCTGCGACCGCCGTTTGGTAGATGAGGTAAGCGCCGGTGGAAATTTTGCTTTAAGGTGATTATTCCCCCCTTCTTCAGATGAAATTGTTTTTGTGATCTTAAGTGGGTTTGTTCTCTCTTTCTTCTCAAAGTGTTTGTTTGATACTTTTTACAGGTTTATACATAGTCTATGGTCTCTCCGAGAAAGGAATGACCCAAAGGATTGGATCGATAGGAAAAACACGCTGACTATGGAGACGTGAAAGATCCCTTATGCTTTTGGGTAATAATAGGTCATGTTTTCTCTTTGTATTTTTCTTTGTTTCTTTGTGTTTTGGGTTTGGTTTGCTCATCTGTGTTTTGGGTTTTGGGTTTGGTTTGCTCATCTGAGTTGTTGTCTTTTATCTATGACCCTTTTATCTTGCAGTGTCTGCTGATAACACTATCCTTGCAACTGGAAGTTATGATACCACTGTAATGGTGTGGGAAGTAGTACGTGCCAGAGGCCACGAGAAAAGAGTTAGAAACGCACAAACAGAAGTACCTCGTAGAGACCACGTGATTGCTCAAACCCCATTCCATATCCTCTGTGGTCATGACGACATAATCACCTGCTTGTTTGTTAGTGTGGAGCTCGATATTGTCATCAGTGGTTCAAAAGACGGGACGTGTATTTTCCATACCCTTAGGGAAGGCCGATATGTGAGATCTTTGCGTCATCCATCTGGCCATCCACTGTCAAAGCTTGTTGCTTCGAGGCATGGGCATATAGTGTTCTATGCCGAGGATGATCTTAGCCTGCATCTCTACTCTATCAATGGCAAACATCTGGCAAGTTCCGAATCAAATGGGCGCCTCAACTGTATTGAACTCAGTAGGTGTGGTGATTTTTTGGTCTGTGCTGGCGACCAAGGGCAAATAGTTGTGCGATCGATGCACAATCTCGATGTTGTGAAGAGGTATGTGGGAGCTGGAAAGATGATCACAAGCCTAGCGGTGACTCCAGAGCAATGCTTCTTGGCTGGGACCAAAGATGGACACATTTTAGTTTACTCGATAGAGAATCCCCAACTCCGCAGAGCTGGTGCTGCTAGGAACAAGACAAGAGGCTCTGGGCCGTTGTAGATCGATCAGGTTGTCTGCAAGTAACAATCACTGCTCAGTTGTCACGATCGTGTTCACAACAGGTATGCAAACTTGATTTCTATCTGTTTCAATTGAAGCCATGGCCGTGCATGCTGATTATCGTGCTTTGCTTCTTCGAGATTTTGTCGTATAAAAATAAAACGACTTGGTGATGCAAATTGCCACTACTAAGTAGAAATCTTGCTAGTATGAATGACAACTTTTACCTGACTCATTAGCTCTGGTCTGCTTGGGGTAGATATCATGGGGCCGGAATCTGTTTTATATGATATTTATTCAAAGCATTCCCATTTGAACTACTATTAAACGATATTATTAATATAATCTAGTTACTGGCAAGTGGCTATCTTTCAGATAATGAACTTTCATACTCCATTTTATTCTCTCGCTTTTATTAAAAAATCGTTCTTGAATCTCTTAGAAAGAATCGACTTGTTTGGTCGTTGTTCTTTGAGTTGCATAATAAGTCGATCTGTCGTGACACATACCCCAAACAAAATTACTCAACTTGACTTGTGCCTGGTGCAGATCTGTTAGGGTATTGAGATAAGCCACCTTGCATTGCCCCACTGCCATTCCTACTTGCTAGAGTGAAAACGGACTCAATCCCCCGTTCTTTGTTTGGCAAACATATTCACTCTCTTAATTTTATTTTCTGCAGAAGCTGGCTTGAAGAATCCAGAGACTGAGTTCTGCTGAAATTACTTGGACCACAGTTTTGCTAACACAGGAGGTTTTGGTTTTAGGCGTTCTGGAGATGAACTGTGAGGTGCTGATTTTCAGCTGAGACTTGCAGCGCTACAGACTAGCTGAAATGCTGGTCATGTTGCCTTCTTAAGATTCAGCTGCAGCCGCCAATGAAAAGTGAATTGCTCGCTCTTGCGGCCGGGTACTTGGATTTGTGGATACATCCTTATGCATACTTGTATTTGTATACCTACCTACCTGTACATTGTATAGTCTTGATAGAGGGAGGAAATGCTACCCTAAACTTTGTCTAACAGCTGACAATGCCAGCAGCTCTCAGGTCTATTATTATCATCTTCAGGTCATTTTGTTGTTAGGTGATAGAGAACAGAAACTGGACATTGTACAGATGGGAACCTCCCCTCGATGTCATCTACGGGAAATGATGGCAATTTAGTACCGGTTATGGCTACTGTTTTTACTTATTTAAGATTTAGCAAAAGAGCAAGCATGCACGGGTATGTGCTTGATGGCAGGCTCGGTACGGCATCGATACTCCAGTATCAAATACCGAACTCTCAAATATTGAATTACAACCTAAAATCAATCTCAATCCAAAAATAAATTCGGTATCTCAATCCCAATCCAAAAATATTTTGGAATCCCAATCGGTATTTTTGAATACGATACTATGCAATCAATAGATAATGGTAACAACACCCGTATTCCTCATCATTTTAAAAGTTTGTAGGCTTAAAAAGTTTGCTTATGAGCATGTGAGGCGAGAAAAGTTATAAAAACTTATTGAAGTTATAATTAATTGGATTCAATCAAGTCTTCATCGAACTTATTCATTATAGGTTTTCATTTAGCGCAAACAGACTAGACAAAGGGTTTTGAGTCCGTCTAGAGCTAGGACATGATTAAGGAGAAGGAAGGAGATGATGATATCACAATTTCTCCTCATTGGTAATCTTTAATTTGATGGATTGGAGGTTCTTATTTAGCGCAAAGTGACTAGACAAAGGGTCTTGAGTTCGTCTAGAGCTAGGACATGGTTAAGGAGGAGGGAGGAGATGATGATATCTCCGTTTCTCATCATTGGTAATCTTTAATTTGATGGATTGGAGGTTGAGAGACAACTAATGAGAATGTATGTTTTTAAAATGTCATGAAAATAACAAGAGATTGAGTGCGAGACGAGAGTGACTTAAATTTGAAAGCAAAAATTGGGTTGGATGGTGGCTTGTGAGTTGTCAAAGATTGAGGAAGAACCGAAGAACCAAAGTATGTGCTATATTTAATTAATTTTTAATTTTCGTTGTTTTTCAGTATTTTGGTATTTACTGATACAATCTCGTAATCCCGAATACCAAATAACACTTCAAAATGAATCACAATCTCAATCCTTAAAAATAATTGTGTGTTCGATCATTTGTAATGCAAGTCATATCCATTTGTATTGTTAATAGTTTGTAATATAAATTAGTCCAGTTTGCAATGCAAGTCTTATTCATTTCTATAGTGTGTAGACACAATTTGAAATGACAAAAGTTTATGGTTAGCAGCAAATCAGTTTGATTTGTAATGCAAGTCATATCCATTTGCATTGGAAGTAATTTGTAATGTAAATTAGTTGTAATGTACATCAGTCTCTAATGTAAGTAGTTTGTATAATATGTAACATGGTTGGTATGATGTGGTATTTTAGTTTGTATACTATGTGTTCATAGTTTGTGATGTTTGTCAATCTCATTTGTAATGTAAATTAGTTGTAATGTACATCAGTCTCGTTTGTAATGTAAGTAGTTTGTATAATATGTAATATGGTTAGTTTGTATACACTGTGATTTAGTTGGTACCCATTTTGATTTAGTTTATAATATTTTTCAATGTCATTTGTAATATACTCATACTGATTTGTATACTTTCTTATATGATTTGTAACATAGTTCGTTTAACATAGTCTTTTAGTTTGTATACTATGTTATTACGGTTTCTATATGTTGGGGGCATGGAAAGAAGGGCCCAAGTAAAGGGCCAAGGTGCCATCATGGGCCGGGAATGTGGGCCTGGCGAGGGAGAGACTCGGCCCAAGAGAGGGCCAGAGACCAAGGCCCAAGCAGTGGGACCAGGCCGATGGAGGGGCGCATGGCGACAAAAGGGGAGTAACGGTCAGAAGCGTACGGAGGAGACAGGGGGTGGGGCCGTGCGCCTCCGTGGTGCAGGCCGGTGTCAGAGTGTCGGGGCGCCTGGGGGGAGTAAGGTACAGTGCATTTAATGAGGTGATGACGTAGGGCGGATTTGGGGGGCATTGGTCGACCCTACCTCGAGTATAAATAGTGAAGTGGGTGGAGCTCATTTACTCAGGTTCCAACTTCTCTCTAAAACTTACATCCCACTTCTCTCTCTAGAATCTGTTCTAACTTGGGCGTCGGAGTGCTAACGAGCCCTTGCTAAGGGGCTCGGTGCGCGCTGCCGTGTGCAGGGGACGAGCGTGTGGTCAAGGCGCGGAGGAAGCGGAGGGAGCTCGAGGGATTTGCAGGGCGTGAGGCAGGAGGCGCGCGGAGACCGTTGAGGGCGGAAGGTTACGTGGCACAAACACTATACATTTTGATTAGTTTGTATACATTCTGATCTAGTTTATGATGTTTGTCAATCTCATTTGTAGCATTGATATGTAAACAGGATGATTTGTATTATTTATTAGCAAGATTTATGTTATTTATTAAAAGTATAATAGCTCAAAACACCGATTACTGTACATTCAGACTGTTTTTCCTATTCATTGTGACTCAGAATTACTATTCACTGAGTTCTTATTGGTTGTTGCTTTGATGTGGGTCCAGATTTTCCTTCCCTCTCCCTTTGAACTGTCGACGAGACCTCTGTTTTCCATTGCTTGATATCTGTGTAAGGCTGTAGGTGTTGGGGTCTGACGCGAAGCCCTCTTCGTGGAAAGTCGCGTTGATCACAAATCGACTGCCAGAGCCCGGTAAGGCCAGAAGCACTCTTGATGCTGATGGGAAGTATCTGTCAGCTCTCTCTCGGTTATTTGGGTTGCATTGAATTGGGGCTCAGATTTCTATGCTTGGAACCCAACCATTTTTTTCTTTTGATCGCTTTCGTTGCCCTTAGCGTTGGTCACATATGCTTAATTTGTGGGGCCGATGCTTTTGGCCGCGCATCCCTTGGGCCAGAGAGGGTTGCTGATGGATGTTTTTAGGCATAGGGACTTCAACCGCCATTTTGGGAAACGGTGACTCCCCCTTTGATTGACGTAGGCGCTCCTTGCAGAGAGAGGAGAGCATGTGTCAGTGGGTGGAGGTCTCAAGGAAGGCAAAAAAAAAAAAAAAAATCACAGCAACTCTTTTTCTCCAACACATATTCTACCTATCCCTCATTCCTCTCAGTTTTCTTTTACTCATCCCGTTTCTTTTCTCTCTTTCTGAGAAGATCGGTCAGAACTATCCAAAAGAAGAGAGTGTTGGGTGTTGTATCTTCAATCTTCATCGCTGACTACCTCCATGGTGAGAAACTGAATAGCGGATTCAAGTGGATGGTCGTCTGTGCATCCAAAGGGTATTCCAGGAGGTTGCATCTCCGGCGCCGTTGCTGCGACCGCCGTTTGGTAGATGAGGTAAGCGCCGGTGGAAATTTTGCTTTAAGGTGATTATTCCCCCCTTCTTCAGATGAAATTGTTTTTGTGATCTTAAGTGGGTTTGTTCTCTCTTTCTTCTCAAAGTGTTTGTTTGATACTTTTTACAGGTTTATACATAGTCTATGGTCTCTCCGAGAAAGGAATGACCCAAAGGATTGGATCGATAGGAAAAACACGCTGACTATGGAGACGTGAAAGATCCCTTATGCTTTTGGGTAATAATAGGTCATGTTTTCTCTTTGTATTTTTCTTTGTTTCTTTGTGTTTTGGGTTTGGTTTGCTCATCTGTGTTTTGGGTTTTGGGTTTGGTTTGCTCATCTGAGTTGTTGTCTTTTATCTATGACCCTTTTATCTTGCAGTGTCTGCTGATAACACTATCCTTGCAACTGGAAGTTATGATACCACTGTAATGGTGTGGGAAGTAGTACGTGCCAGAGGCCACGAGAAAAGAGTTAGAAACGCACAAACAGAAGTACCTCGTAGAGACCACGTGATTGCTCAAACCCCATTCCATATCCTCTGTGGTCATGACGACATAATCACCTGCTTGTTTGTTAGTGTGGAGCTCGATATTGTCATCAGTGGTTCAAAAGACGGGACGTGTATTTTCCATACCCTTAGGGAAGGCCGATATGTGAGATCTTTGCGTCATCCATCTGGCCATCCACTGTCAAAGCTTGTTGCTTCGAGGCATGGGCATATAGTGTTCTATGCCGAGGATGATCTTAGCCTGCATCTCTACTCTATCAATGGCAAACATCTGGCAAGTTCCGAATCAAATGGGCGCCTCAACTGTATTGAACTCAGTAGGTGTGGTGATTTTTTGGTCTGTGCTGGCGACCAAGGGCAAATAGTTGTGCGATCGATGCACAATCTCGATGTTGTGAAGAGGTATGTGGGAGCTGGAAAGATGATCACAAGCCTAGCGGTGACTCCAGAGCAATGCTTCTTGGCTGGGACCAAAGATGGACACATTTTAGTTTACTCGATAGAGAATCCCCAACTCCGCAGAGCTGGTGCTGCTAGGAACAAGACAAGAGGCTCTGGGCCGTTGTAGATCGATCAGGTTGTCTGCAAGTAACAATCACTGCTCAGTTGTCACGATCGTGTTCACAACAGGTATGCAAACTTGATTTCTATCTGTTTCAATTGAAGCCATGGCCGTGCATGCTGATTATCGTGCTTTGCTTCTTCGAGATTTTGTCGTATAAAAATAAAACGACTTGGTGATGCAAATTGCCACTACTAAGTAGAAATCTTGCTAGTATGAATGACAACTTTTACCTGACTCATTAGCTCTGGTCTGCTTGGGGTAGATATCATGGGGCCGGAATCTGTTTTATATGATATTTATTCAAAGCATTCCCATTTGAACTACTATTAAACGATATTATTAATATAATCTAGTTACTGGCAAGTGGCTATCTTTCAGATAATGAACTTTCATACTCCATTTTATTCTCTCGCTTTTATTAAAAAATCGTTCTTGAATCTCTTAGAAAGAATCGACTTGTTTGGTCGTTGTTCTTTGAGTTGCATAATAAGTCGATCTGTCGTGACACATACCCCAAACAAAATTACTCAACTTGACTTGTGCCTGGTGCAGATCTGTTAGGGTATTGAGATAAGCCACCTTGCATTGCCCCACTGCCATTCCTACTTGCTAGAGTGAAAACGGACTCAATCCCCCGTTCTTTGTTTGGCAAACATATTCACTCTCTTAATTTTATTTTCTGCAGAAGCTGGCTTGAAGAATCCAGAGACTGAGTTCTGCTGAAATTACTTGGACCACAGTTTTGCTAACACAGGAGGTTTTGGTTTTAGGCGTTCTGGAGATGAACTGTGAGGTGCTGATTTTCAGCTGAGACTTGCAGCGCTACAGACTAGCTGAAATGCTGGTCATGTTGCCTTCTTAAGATTCAGCTGCAGCCGCCAATGAAAAGTGAATTGCTCGCTCTTGCGGCCGGGTACTTGGATTTGTGGATACATCCTTATGCATACTTGTATTTGTATACCTACCTACCTGTACATTGTATAGTCTTGATAGAGGGAGGAAATGCTACCCTAAACTTTGTCTAACAGCTGACAATGCCAGCAGCTCTCAGGTCTATTATTATCATCTTCAGGTCATTTTGTTGTTAGGTGATAGAGAACAGAAACTGGACATTGTACAGATGGGAACCTCCCCTCGATGTCATCTACGGGAAATGATGGCAATTTAGTACCGGTTATGGCTACTGTTTTTACTTATTTAAGATTTAGCAAAAGAGCAAGCATGCACGGGTATGTGCTTGATGGCAGGCTCGGTACGTCATCGATACTCCAGTATCAAATACCGAACTCTCAAATATTGAATTACAACCTAAAATCAATCTCAATCCAAAAATAAATTTGGTATCTCAATCTCAATCCAAAAATATTTTGGAATTCCAATTGGTATTTTTGAATACGATACTATGCAATCAATAGATAGTGGTAATAACACCCGTATTCCTCATCATTTTAAAAGTTTGTAGGCTTAAAAAGTTTGCTTATGAGAATGTGAGGTGAGAAAAGTTATAAAAACTTATTGAAGTTATAATTAATTGGATTCAATCAAGTATTCATCGAACTTATTCATTATAGGTTCTCATTTAGCGCAAACAGACTAGACAAAGGGTTTTGAGTCCGTCTAGAGCTAGGACATGATTAAGGAGAAGGGAGGAGATGATGACATCACAATTTCTCCTCATTGGTAATCTTTAATTCGATGGATTGGAGGTTCTTATTTAGCGCAAGGTGACTAGACAAAGGGTCTTGAGTTCGTCTAGAGCTAGGTCATGGTTAAGGAGGAGGGAGGAGATGATGATATCTCCGTTTCTCATCATTGGTAATCTTTAATTTGATGGATTGGAGGTTGAGAGACAACGGATGAGAATGTCTGTTTTTAAAATGTCATGAAAATAACAAGAGATTGAGTGCGAGACGAGAGTGACTTAAATTTGAAAGCAAAAATTGGGTTGGATGGTGGCTTGTGAGTTGTCAAAGATTGAGGAAGAACCAAAGTATGTGCCATATTTAATTAATTTTTAATTTTTGTTGTTTCTCAGTATTTTGGTATTTACTGATCACAATCTCGTAATCCCGAATACCAAATAACACTTCAAAATGAATCACAATCTCAATCCTTCAAAATAATTGTGTGTTCGATAATTTGTAATGCAAGTCATATCCATTTGTATTGTTAATAGTTTGTAATATAAATTAGTCCAGTTTGCAATGCAAGTCTTATTCATTTCTATAGTGTGTAGACACAATTTGAAATGACAAAAGTTTATGGTTAGCAGCAAATCAGTTTGATTTGTAATGCAAGTCATATCCATTTGCATTGGAAGTAATTTGTAATGTAAATTAGTTGTAATGTACATCAGTCTCTAATGTAAGTAGTTTGTATAATATGTAACATGGTTGGTATGATGTGGTATTTTAGTTTGTATACTATGTATTCATAGTTTGTGATGTTTGTCAATCTCATTTGTAATGTAAATTAGTTGTAATGTACATCGGTCTCGTTTGTAATGTAAGTAGTTTGTATAATATGTAATATGGTTAGTTTGTATACACTGTGATTTAGTTGGTACCCATTTTGATTTAGTTTATAATATTTTTCAATGTCATTTGTAATGTACTCATACTGATTTGTATACTTTCTAATATGATTTGTAACATAGTTCGTTTGACATAGTCTTTTAGTTTGTATACTATGTTATTACGGTTTCTATACATTTTGATTAGTTTGTATACATTCTGATCTAGTTTATGATGTTTGTCAATCTCATTTGTAGCATTGATATGTAAACAGGATGGTTTGTATTATTTATTAGCAAGATTTATGTTATTTATAATTATAGTTTGTATACATTGTGATTTAGTTTTTAAACATTGTGATCTCATTTGTAGTATACGCGGCACTAATTTGTATGTTTTTTATCGGGTTAGTATATTTTTAATATGATTTGTGTACTCTGTAATATGATTAATATAATATGGTATTTAGTTTGTATACCATGTCTTTATAATTTGTACTTATTGTAATATGAATTGTGACATTTGTAATGTATGTAGTACTGATTTGTAAAGATCATAGCTTGTACTATCTATCACTAAAGTTTGCATTGTTTGGCAATCTGTCAGGATTCACCCACCTAGAATTCCATGGTACAAAGTCTTGTGGAGTATATTTCTTGTTCTCAAGCATCGTTTTCCTGACTTGGTTGGTGATCTGGAATAGAATCAAAACTTTAGTGCAACACAAAAGCTGGGGATTTGCAAACTCTGATAATTGTTTGATGTGTGATATGGTATTGCAATGGGATTATGATTAGAATTTGTAGTCTAGTATAGTTCATCCGAGTGGAAGAAATGGGATGGTTCGACTGAAAACTGCATATCAATCGTAATCCAAATCGGTAGTCCGTATTATTGATATGAAATGATTGAAACACGATTTATTGCCAGACGCTTCAGTTGGGATCCGGTGAAAGCCGTCTGTAAATAACTCTGTATTTCCTGCACAAGTTGTGTACTGTGGGGTGAAACCAGTACGAAAGTGAAGTGAAGAATGAAAAAGGGTAAGGTATCAATGTGCAATGAATGTGGCGATCAATGAAACACGACCTGACAATGGCTGAGTACAACAGTAGTAGGACAGTGGAGGAGAGCAATAAATGTAAAACGGAGATTGAAGATGCTCATCCCTCTCCGTTTCCTTAGCAATGATGATAAAAAAAAAACAGAGCAGGAGAACAGTAGTGTAAGAAAGTAAACAGAAGGCAAGAGAGAAGATACAACTTTCCCCAATTCATTCATTCGTTCTGAAAATCGAAACTTTTTTTATGTACACACACTGGACCAGACAGCACACTGCTAATGATGTTCATCAGCTTTACAACTACTTTCATTCAATACACCCTCTGCTTCTCTTAGCTCTGCCAATTTGGACTAAATAATGTGTGGTTTCGGTCAGTTCATCATCTCCACTACTCAATTCATCCGCCTGAGTTTGTGGCTTTCTCTCTCATTACCCAATTCCTCTGTTTTCAGGTATGGATATGAGTCCTCTGTTTTGCTCCTTCAATTATGAAAAATGGGTGATCCTGGGAATCGGCCACTCACACTCTTTTGGATGGTACGGATGCTATGGGGGAAAAGGGTTGGTGATAATTAAACTTTCCCCATGAGCTTCTGACGTGGGGGCCTTCAAAACTGCCATATTTTTTCTTCCTGTGTACTTGGCAGTTGTATATTACACAGAGTTTCTGTTCCCATGATGGAACCATCAGGTTGAAACTTTCTCATCCTGTTTTTTTGCTTTTAGGATCAAACTTCACCTTCCCCTGTTTTCCAACCATAGTCTCTGCTTGCCTGAACCCAGAAAGGCAAGGTCTTTTTCTACCCTGTTATAGTAAGGTGAAGTTGCATTTCTTCTCTGCAACTGCAAATGCATGCATTTCTTACCCATCAAGCTTTCACGTTCATCCCTCACAGTTCGAGTGTTACTTTAACCTTTTTTCTCACAGATCAAGTGCAGGGGGGGTTGGTGTAGAAACAAATGATGAAGCTTTTTGCAGCTGCGGTGGAGGAAGGCAAAGCAGGGGAAAACGGGAAACCATCAGTTGGTCCTGTTTACCGTAATCTGCTGTCCAAGAATGAATTCCCTTCTCCTGATCCCGATATCTCCACTGCTTGGGATCTTTTCAGGTTCTCTCTCTCTCTCTCTCTCTCTCTCTCTCTCTCTCTCTCTCTCTCTCTCTCTCTCAACATTTCCTTGTGAAGAATCATGTATCAGTCATTTTGGGCTTTGACTAAAACCTTCACTTTGTTCAGTGTATCAGTCAAGAAATACCCTGACAGTAAAATGCTAGGATGGCGAGAATTCGTTAATGGGAAGGTAATAAAGAAAGAATCCACCGTTTTCTGAAATTCATACACCCTGGTGTTTCTTTGGGGAGCAACTGAACTCTTGATTGTTGTTTGTTGTTGAAAGTATGGGGGTTATCAATGGAAGACTTACAAGCAAGCAAATGAGGAAGTTCTGCGCATTGGTTCTGCATTGAGAGCCTCTGGTGCTGAACCGGTAACTAGCCATCCACTCACATTCTACTAACTAAAACATGGGAGGGGGAAAAAATGAGGAAGCTCACTGCTTTCTTGTATCAAACAGGGCTGCCGGGTTGGTGTTTATGGCGCGAACTGCCCCGAATGGACTGTCGCGATGGAGGTAATGTGTGGTGCGGCTATGAAATCGGATTCGACATTGCTCCTCTCTTTCTTTCTTTCTTTCTTCCATATGAACATTATTGGAAGTGACATGTCATTCGAAATTGTTACTAGGCTTGTGCTGCCCACAGTTTGGTCTGTGTACCTCTCTATGATACTCTTGGTAAACTCCTGCATCCATTCACAATTTCTCCTTGCCTTATTCTTCTGCATTTTCGCAACTTAATCGTGGAGATTAGATTGATAATGTATGCTAAATGGGGCGTGAGTGCAGGTCCGAATGCTGTCAACTTTATAATAGATCATGCAGAAGTGGATTTCGTTTTCGTGCAAGACAAGAAAGTGAATGAAGTGAGCATGCTGCATACCGTTTGTTACAATGTTCTTCAGGATGAGAAAGAAAAACGTTGCTCTAACACTGGTTAGTAAGTTACTAATTGCAGCTACTGAACCCTAGTTGCAATGCTGCTGGACGACTTAAAGCTGTCGTTTGCTTCACTTCCCTGACGAACGAGCACAAGGAGAAAGCAGCTGAACTCGGGACGAAACCATATTCCTGGCAGGAGTTTCTAGTGATGGTATTACTTGGTTTGCTGACAAAATCCCATTTCTGTATCCTTGTTTTCATGGCTTTCTGTTCCCTTCATTGAATAGTTGTTTTGATTCTACTGTTGTTGGTGTTTCCATAAAGGGAAAGGAGAATCCAACGGAGATAGTGCCACCACAGCCATTCAACATTTGTACGATTATGTACACGAGTGGTACGAGTGGAGATCCGAAAGGTGTTGTGCTTACACATGAAACGGTTGCAAATTTTGTAAGGGGTATGGATTTGTTCATGGAACAGTTTGAAGACAAGGTAAATTAAGCCAGGGGACATGTGTACAAAGTCTTTCTTTTTTTCTGGTATAGTGAGAGATTTCTGATTCTGGGTTCTTGAGTATGTAGATGACAGTTGATGATGTGTACTTATCGTTCCTACCGCTTGCACATATCCTAGACCGAATGATCGAAGAGTACTTCTTCAGCAAAGGCGCTTCGGTTGGTTACTACCATGGGGTATAATAATGTAGCTTCTCCCCCTCAAGATATGCACATTTCACTGTTCATTGCTTGTGGATTTGTAATTCTGTTCTGTTTTTCTTCAACTGTTTGAAGGATTTAAACGCGTTGAGGGATGATTTGATGGAACTGAAGCCGACATTTTTAGCTGGCGTGCCTAGAGTCTTTGAGAAGATACATGAAGGCATGCAAGAATTTCTTTTACAGTCATTACAAGTAAAGCAAAAAAAAAAATTATCTGGTTGTTGAAGTTAAACATTTTCCCCCATTCTGCAATTCAGGTATAGTGAAAGCATTAGACGAACTTAATCCAATCCGAAGGAGGGTTTTCGATTTTCTCTACCGATAGTAAGTATGGCATTCCGCCGAATCCCAGCCAAAATCAACTCAATGTTACTTAAACACAGACTGTTGAAATTGTCCCAACTGTTAATAATGCAGCAAGCTAGCCTGGATGAATATGGGTTACAAGCAAAAGTACTCCTCACCATTGGCTGATCTATTGGCCTTCAGAAAGGTTTTTCCTTTCACTAAGAAGCAAGCTTTACTAGTACTCTTTTCTGTGTTCTAACATTAATGGAAATGTATGTATCTTCTGGTGTATTTTTTTCGCAGGTGAAGGCGAAACTAGGAGGCAGACTTCGGCTAATCGTGTCAGGAGGAGCTCCCTTGAGCTCTGAAGTAGAAGAATTCTTGCGGGTTACTTGCTGCGCTTTTGTAGTCCAAGGCTATGGTACTAATACTATTTCATAAGATTGGACCTTCCTTACTATTTGACAAGATAATAACCCCATGAAAGCACAAGCTTATTACCAAGTTTTCTGTTTCTTGCAATGCAGGATTGACTGAAACTTGTGGGCCAGCAACGCTAGGCTTCCCGGACGAGATGTGCATGATGGGAGCAGTGGGAGCTCCGGCAGTGTACAACGAGATACGACTCGAGGAAGTACCCGACATGGGGTACAACCCACTTGGGGAGCCACCTTGTGGCGAGATCTGTGTGAAAGGGAAGACAATGTTTGCTGGTTACTACAAGAACCCTCAACTCACTACTGAATCCATTCAGGATGGATGGTTCCACACAGGTTTTTTTCTTGGTTGATTAATTCCTTTCTTACCTACTAACTTACACAAAAACCAAACAACTTCTTGTTTTAGCTGCTTACTTATCTATGGGGTTGGTTATTCAGGGGACATTGGGCAAATATTGCCAAATGGGGTGATCAAAGTGATTGACAGGAAGAAGAACCTGATAAAGCTGTCACAAGGAGAGTACATTGCTCTAGAGCATTTGGAGAATGTGTTTGGGATCACTCCCATCGTCGACGATGTAATGGAAAACACCATATTTCCAATAATCTTAAACCCTAAATCCTTGCTTGTTCTTTGGTCAATGTTCTTACCGTCTTGTTTGATTTGTTTGTAGATATGGGTGTATGGAGACAGCTTTAAACCAATGCTGGTTGCAGTTGTGGTGCTGCATGAAGAGAATGCTATGAAATGGGCTAATGCAAATGGCTACAAGGGTTCATTCCTTGAGATCTGTTGCCTTGAACAGCTAAGGCAACATGTTTTGTTGGAGCTCAAGTCAACTGGTGAGAGGAATAAGGTACAGATTTCTGCCATGTGAATTGAAAGGCAAGATCGATAGTATATATATACGCACTAACTTCTGTTGATTTTGGATTCTGCTGTGGAATAAAACGAATGATGAAGCTGAGGGGGTTTGAATACATAAAGGGGGTGATATTGGAAGCTAAGCCATTTGACATTGAGAAAGACCTGGTCACTGCCACTCTCAAGAAGAAAAGAAACAAGCTGCTCAAGTATTACCAGGTAATTGGAACTTGGGTTTTGTTATTTATATGAAACTATTACGTACCTTTCTTGGTTTTATGGTTTAGTTTTGGTTTTGCTGAAATTGGATCTCTTCTTCTTCTTAAAGGCTGAAATCGATGGGCTTTACCAGAAATTGGGAGCACAGCTTGGGCATTGAACAAAGAATTGCGGATGCAATAGTTGTGTTTCTTGATTTGCACGGTGACTTAACCATGTTTGTGAAACAATAAAGCAAATGCCAAAAGCAGTTTGCCATATGAGAAGTCCTTCCTTGACATTGGTCTTCGTTTAGTGAGCAAAGTTTTGTTCATGCAACCTATAGTAACTAGGGTGAACAAAAAGACCCGTGGACCGATCCACTCGTTCAAGACGATCCAACTCATCCATATTTATCATTAACTAGCTTTGATCCCTGCCCAAAGGGCAGGTAGATTTTTCCATTTATCATGTATGTATAATCTCATTATTAAAATAATAATTTTCGTAAGTTAAAAAAAGTAATTTATGTAAAAAATATCAAATAGAGTCATTAAAAGTTTTTACTCCCTTCCAAAATTTAGCCCCCTAAGACACCCAAGAAAGAGAGTGGAAAACATGCATCTTAATTTTCAGTTGAAAGGAACAGTGGAAGGTACATCCATCTTAATGACGCCAGAAAAAAATCTTATGGGAGTGTCATGTCACCTTATAGCTTAAACTTAGGTAATCTATGAGAAAAAACTGCATACAATGCTTAATCATATCACCTAGAGTTAGGGTTATTTAAAGGTCCGAGCTAGCGAGTGAAAATCCAACTGTAGGGAATTAGAAATCTCGAGGGAACAAAATTAAGTTCTAAATGAAAATGTCGCAATAGAAAAGTTGTTGAATGATGTGAATGAGCGAGATGATGTTCATGAGAATAAATCTCAAGAGAATGGAAAGGTTCTGTAGTTATGTAGATAGACAAAAATTTGTAGAAAGTTTACGTTAAAATGAAATAAACTCAAAACTCATAATCATTTATAGAAATATTTAATTGCGTTAAAACAAATATCTATTAGATTGATTAAGAAAAAATATATTATTATTTGAATGAGTAAATAATTATAATTACTAAAAAATTTATGGTTAACTAATAATCATAAATAATAATAAATTATGCAACAATTTCTCTCTCCTCTCCCAAGAAGCCTGTGGGAGAAGAATTCTCACGTGAGAGAAGCAATTAGTAGGCAGTTAGCCAACAAAGAAGAGAAAAAAATTAAATAAATGAACAAAAAAGAATCTATCTATCTATATCTATACTAAATATTATGGCTATTCAAAAATAACTTTTTGCCACATAAGCACTTGGTGAATGCACAAGTTGCCAAGGTGGACAATTTTCTTACAAACAAAAAACTATTTATTGATCTATTTATGAAGCTATCTCTCTCTTCTTTTAATAATTCTACTCATTTTTACTAAAATTAAAATAAGTTAATTTTTTAGGAAATGTTTAAACAACCAAACACATACATAAGTATTCATCTTTTTTTTCAATTAAACAAACTATAAAGATGGAAACAGAGAGTGATATATCGTATTTGTTTAACCCAAGCTGATTAAATCTGATTAAGTAAATTTTCTACTCATTTTTACTACAATTTGATAATAAGTTACATTTTGATGAAGAAAAAAACACACACATAAATAATAATATTTTCAATTAAACAAAAATATAAACGATGGTCTAAGAGAAAACAAGCGTTTGATAATCAATCGACTTTGAGAAATGATCGATATGACTATATGTTTTTTAGCTATCAAACACTCACTTCTTTCTAATGTACATACCTATCAAATAAAACAAGTATAAATTTTATAGCAAAATGTTTGAATATAAACTTGACAGAGCAATAATTGTATTTGTTTAAAAAACTTCTTATTTATTTCGATTAAATAAAAACATATAAATTATTAATGCAAACTTTTAATTTGTTTCTGTCCCATTTCCCATTTTAATTGTCTCACTAGAAATAAAATCCAACTTTGAAAATAATAAATCAAGAAAGTATGTCAACCACCATAAAAATAAACAAAACCCTCTTATTAGTTGCTATTTTTTCTTTTAGATCTCTAATATTTGTATTCTCATAATTTATAGAGAAGGAAATGGTAATGCACATGATTTTTTTCTTTGTATGAGAATAGGAGGCAGGAGTTACACGAGGCAACGATTAGATGACAAAATTTTGAGCAGTTGTAACATATTTTTGCCTGTTAACGAAAAAAGTTCATTTGATCATTGTGAAGATGAGGTGAACCAAGCCGAGGGTTGTCGACTGCTCCCTCTTCCTCTTGATCTGAAGCTGTCAACTGGTCTCACTTTCTCAGCGATACGTTATTGTTTGCGGTTGACTGGCCGAGTTATACTCTTCTTCCATTATTTTCTTAATTTCTTCCAAATTATAACTGCTGGATGGTAAATTTTCCCACTCTCGATGAGTGAATGTATTTCTTCTTTGTTTTTCAAGGAGAAGGGTTGTCATATACTTTTATTTAAATGTATAAAATATAATTAGAAGGGTTCATTGGTTGGACTTAGGGCATACCTCATTTGATTGAATAATTGATCGTTTTTCTTGAATGGCTATTGCAATTCGATTTCTTGAATGTTGAAATAGAAAGAAGAGTTGTGATGGTTGTTTATTATATTTTATGTTCATGATTGACATGCTATTAGCTAGCAATACAATGATGATCTGTTTAGTAATTAGTAGGTAGCAAAGAGGTTATAAGTAGAAGGGAACATAATTGGGGTTTTATAAAGGTCGCGAAGAAGAAATAAAATGATAATGGTGGTTTCTCGGTTGTCTATTTTGATGTTTTTTTAATTTCTACATGTTTGCGGTGACATTTGTTTGTTTCATTAAGGTGAATTTTTCCGCATTGAATCCCTAACTAAAGCTTGATTTTGACATGATTGTTTTCTTACAAACTACTATTTGGATTGAGGCATATATTCAGTTCACAAATGAGGAATCTGCATGATAAAATGATTTGAGTTGCATTGAAAACTACTCCTTTCATTATTTTTCTATGTTGTTATTAGGTAAAATCACAATTCTTTTCTACATGAGATATGTAGCTCTCTACAAAATATAAATAGTATTTAAATATATGTAGTTTAATTTGCTGAAAAATATTGCTTTAATAAGTTTGTGACAGCTGATAGTTTTGTTTGTGGTTGGTTTTTTAGAACATTTTAAGGTAATTAAACGAGTACATGGAAGATTGATGGACGTGGATGCTAATGAGTTTCCTCATTATTCCAAAGTTGTATATGTAAGTGATAATACACGATATTCATGAGATTTAGATCGGAATATTCTCTATTATCGTATACCAACATATGAGAAGAGAGAGAAAATAAAAAGCTCTTCGCTTATTTTTTTTATTAATTGAAGCATATTTTCTTATTCTAACTTCTTCTTTTGTTGCTGTAAAATTTTTAACTTCTTTATCACAATTGGGTGCTAAAGAATGAATAACTCTTATGTTTATAATCTTAAAGGGCGAGTTCGATAAAAAAAATTCTAAATAATTAAAGAACAATCTACAAAGAGCTCAGTTAATAAAATTAAAATGTTCATAAATAAACAAAAGGCATAAAAATATGAAACAATACTTGAAATAAGGTAAGTGGATCAATTCCATATATATTATCTTAACAAACATAAATAATAATAACAATTAGAATACTATAACGAATTATAAAATAACCAAACAAAATACACCGTCCAACGGCGGGTAAAAAACTAGTAGAGATCAAAGAAACTGCCGGCAATAGGGAGATATTAAAAAAATAATAAAAACTTAGAATTCACCGGAACTCGTGGAGAAGCCATGAAGGCTGACGTGGTGGGGTCCATTTTCCAAACTGCTTTAATATTTTTAAAGATATTAGAAGAATAACATACTATGTATGTGTTCGCTTATAATCTTTTTAGCTTCTTTCGACAAATGTTTGTGAAAAAAAAACTAAACATATGTTAAAACAAATTGCATTTCTTTAAAATCCAATTAACATCTATGCAGTTAGATCATTTTCATCTCGGATTATTTGTTTGAAATTTTAATTAGTCTATCTTTTTTTGTGGCGTAAAATAGTTGCATTTTTTGTGTTGCTGCTTAAGTATCGTCATTAGCTAAATAGCTAACACATCCATAAGGTTCCTACTTTTTTGGATAGGTTTTGGGTTTAGTATTTTCAAAACGATAGTGTAATTAGTTATATTATAAACAAACGGTAAAGTTTTTCTTTTTTATTATTTGAGTTTAATATTTTTAAAACCATAATATACGAATCGAATGATTAAAACGACTAAATCCGAATCATCTGATCCAAACTAAATCGTTTTCTTACAGAAACCCATTTTCATATCTTGCAAGTAATTTGCAAGGTTGTCAACCAACCGGTCATTCTTCTCCCCGTCTCCAAACGTCTCCTTGGCAGCCTTGACAGCGCTCCTCCACGGCTCGCCTGACTCTTCCACCATAGCCGCCGTCACCGTCGCCGCCACCGAATCGCCGGTAAACGATCCGTCGTCGTCTCGTCTCGGAATCTCCATCCCCAGTTTTTTCCCCGCCAGCAACCTGGCATTAAGCCCCTGGTCGTTTATCATCGGAAGCAATATCAGTACCTTGCCGAAAGCCAAGCCTTCCACCACCGAGTTACACCCGCAGTGAGTCAAGAACCCTCCGACCGAGTCGTGGCTCAGTATCTTCACCTGTGGGGCCCACTCCGTGTACACAATCCCTCGACCCGCAACCCGCTCCACGAACCCGCCCGGCAGCATTGCCGCCGCGTCCCGGGTCGACCCGGCCGCGTACCTCCGCAGCGCCCAGAAGAAGGGCAGCCCGGACTTTTCCAGTCCCATAGCCAGCTCGGCGATTTCCTCCCGAGTCAGCGAAACCTCCGTTCCCAATGCCACGTACACAACCGAGTTGACTCGCTGCTCGTCGAGCCACTCCTTAATCTCACCCCATACGGCCGATCCACCTTCATCCGACTCTTCACCGGTCACCGGCGGCAAGAATCCGACGGGCACAATCCTCTTTTCGTGAATCCGATCGAGAAGGTCGAACCAATCCGGTTCGAACGCCGGCGAGCTCCGTACGATCACGGCGTCGCTCTCCTCCATCGCGACGCTGAACCGGATCTGATCGGACGGCCCCGAAGAATCCTCCTCCGTTTTCTCCACGTACTTCGTGATTTCGTGGAGGCGATACGCCACGTCGGATTCGAACGGCACCCAATCGGGGGCCACGGTGAAATCCTCCGCCCTCGACCGCGAATCCACAAACCCCGCGGCGCCGGTGAACGAGATCGTCGCGGCGGTGAAGAGGCTGAAGAAGGCGCAGGAGATCCGGCGGCCGGCACCCGCGGCGGCGGCGGGTAGCCAGTGGGAGGCGTAGTCGTAAATCACCCAATCGGGGTTCAATCGGCGGAGCAATTCGGTCAGTGGCGGGCGGAGGGAGTCGAAGGCCTGCTTGAGAAGC